GGAGCCAGCCACCCAGGATTCTCACAAATTAGGTGTTTATGAGTTAAAGACTGCTTTCTTCTTTAGTTTTTAAACTGACATTCTTGAGTTAGAGACTTAAGCATACTTTTAAAAACAAGGGTAGGGGATAATTTGCATTTCCTTTTAAAATGATTCAAATAGAGTTGGATTGGCTGTCTCACTGGTGTGAGCTGCTTGTCCTTCTTTCGGTCTGTGTTTCTTTGACTTTTGAAAGAATGGAGTTCTTCAGATCAGCATGGAGACAGACCCTTAAGAAACAAAGCAGTGCCATAACCTCTCCTCCAAGGCTGAGGGCAGCCGGAGAGGGACAGTAGTGGGAGCCAGGCTATCCAACCCTCCCACCAGGGCCCTCGTGTCCCTCATGCCCGGGGTGTGGCGATTTGTGCCAAGGTGCCCTTGCATCTGGTTCCTTTGAGTTTGTAGAGCAGCTCAAGGGTATATCACACATCTAAAAATTTAAGGAATGAAACTTTTTTATACTTCTATAAGGTATTCGACATCAAGATAGCCCTACAAAATCTGGGATCTGTAGTCAGCACCTGGTAGCATCAGAAGCTTAATATAAATAAAATGTCTTTTATTGAGTACCCAGTATGTGTTCCACATTGGGCAGGTGCTTTACATAAGCTGTATCTGACTTCAGGTATTTAGTGAGCCCCTGCTGTGTGCACAGTGAGATGGTGCCTCTTCCTATTGTGTTTTCACTGAAAACTGTGTTCACAGAACAACCTTTACTGGCTAGTGTGTAAAGCCTTCTAACTAAAACTTAACTGTTTGATTTTTTTTTTTAATTATGCAAAGAATAGGCTTGGCGTCCATGTCCTAAGTGGCTTCAGCTGTGGCTGTGATCATTTGTGGTCACAGAGGCCAGTGTGTTCCTGTTTGAGTTGTGGCTTTGTTGAGAATTAAGAGGCTTATAAAGGAAGCCATAGAAACCCTGAGTTCCCCAATTGCCGTGGTACAGGAAACAGGACAATTAGTCAGCATCCATTGTCCCCATTAGGGTGTTTAAGATACACTTTCAAGACAATCTGAAAACATCACGTGGCCCGATTATGTGGTCGCTCCACATCAGGCACACTCTTGTCGAGGTTCCCTTTAGGAACAATTGTAGGAAGAACATTTTTGCAACTTTCATAAAATACCTTTCCATGACATGGTCCTTAGATTCCAAGCCCTTTATGTGACAGTCAGAAGTGGATACAGGGAGGGAAAACCCTGTCTCCTCTGGTTACTGGTCCCCTTTATTTGGTCCCTTGGCTGAGTGGCCATGCTGGGAGCCATCCTTAGCCATGGTGAAATTCACAGGTGCCACAGGTCGGGGTCGGGGTCGGGACCCCATGCTGGCATCACTGTGAGGAGCAGTTTGCAAGTCCATGCCCATGTGACTTTCATTGCAAGCTCCTGTTTGAAGTCACTGTAGGTTTCTTGTCCCAGCCACTGTGTGATCAGCTCTGCTTAAGGTGCTGCTCTGCAGAACTGCCCCCCAGCTTCTTCACATGGCCCACGGTGAGTGGCCTAGATTCCACCCAGCCTCTGTTCTGTTCCCACCCCAGCCGTCCAGACACTGTCCCTCCACTGCCTGGCCCTTTGTTGGAGGGCCTCCCAAAGGGAATGCCATTGTGTGCCACACCCCAGTGTGCTGAATCACCCTGGGGCGGGGCCAGGACAGGAGTCATTTGTGAAAGCTCCCCCGGTGATGCTGATGTGCACCTCCCACCAAAACCACACTTGGAATGATTCTATTGTATCTTTTATTTTATTTTTTTTTATTATTGTAACCCACCTGAGATTCTTAGACAAGAGCCAAGCAACAAAACTGACATTTTAAATTCAATGTGGGTTAAAGCATTACGGAACACATTTGTTGTCTTTTGGTAACTTTTTGTATTACTCAGAACATGCATCCCTGCTTCTGATGACATTTTCAATGAAAAGGGCAAGGTGGAGGTGTTGGGGTGGGTGGAATTTTATAAGTGATTGAATATGTTTCTCGGCACTGCCGGTCCCAGGAATTATTTTTTTATTAATACTTGAGATTTCCTGTCACTGTCTACAGAAGAATGTTGTTTTACCTGGAGCTTCTCAAATACGTTGATAAGAGACCTTGTCTTCCTGCATGTACCTTCTACACAGTTGTCACATTCTTTGAATTTTCCCTTTCTGCACCAGGATGTATCTGTAGGTCTCTGAAGCCTCATTCTCAGGCCCGAACTCTGCTTTGTCCTCATCCCTTCCAGAGCCGAGTTATTTAACAACCTTTGCTAGTTTCCCAAACCTCAGTCTCTGCCCTGACATTTAGTGCTGATTTTCCATTTATCTTGGACTTGCTCCTTTTAGGGCAAATGCTGGATGCGTATCTTGGGCATCACCTGGGAGACTGAGGGACTGCTGGCACCCGAGCCTGCATCTTCATCAGTTCCCAAGGACCTCTGTGTGCCCGTTGCACTGGGACGCACTGGTCCGTGGGGCGTCTCCCCTCCACCCTCTCTCTCATCCCATCCTGTCTCCTGCTCCCTGCCATCCACGTTTGTCTCTCAGTTATACCGCTCTTGTTCCAGACTGGAAATCATGGCTTTGTTTTCTGTTTGATTCTTCATTTCATTTTCTATCCATTCAGATACTGACTGACTGCCTCCCAGAGCTAAGTGTTAAAGATAACAGTCAGCAAACCCAGACCTGATTCCTGCCTTTGTGGAGCTCAGTGTCTAATGGGAGAAGCAACTGTTAAATACTACGTGTTAAATTGTACGTGTGAAATTCTGTGAAATTCGGATGAGAACTGAAGAGAAAGCAAGTCGTGCAGACAGGACTTGCATCTCAAACAAGGGGCAGCACATGCAAAGGCCCAGCTCAGTAGAGGAGGTTTATAGGGGATTAAGAAAGGATTTACTTGCCCTTAAGACCCTCATCTGTGTTTCCTCTTCCTCCTCATCCTGTCAGATCTACATCTTCTCTGTTCCTGGGATTGAGGGCATGCCCCTCTGCACTGGGCTGCTGTTGTTTTTAAAAATTTATTAAATAAATGTTGTACTAGTTTTTCCTCACTATGTTAAAATACCCAACACAGTCTACAAATGAAAATAAAAGGTTTATTTAACTCAGATTTGGAGGTTCAGGGGCTTGGCGGTAGCACTGACTCAGTTCTTTGCTGCATCACAGCCTGGGGGATGGCAGTGGCAGGAGCATGTGGGGGAGCCAGGGTTGCATCTCAAACCAGAAGCAGAGGGAGGGGACCGACGGCGTCAGGCCTGTTCCTTTAATAACAGCCCTCTTGAGAAAGCTACCAAAGGGGTCTCATAAGAAAGACCTCACACTCCCAGTGATCTAGGGACCTCCGGCCAGACCCCACCTTCCAAGGTTCCACCGACTCCCAGCAGCGCCACCTGGGGGCCAACCCCTCAATCGCAGTGGAGCCCCCGGGGACACACACTGTATTCAAAGCATAGCAAACTTACATGCAGAAAAATGTCCGAATCACGAATGTGATGGATTTTCAGAGTGAGAACAGGAGCGTGTTAGCATGCGCACCTAGACCGGCTGTGGAAAGCACCAGAAGGCTCCTTGGGAGCACTTTGGCACTCTGAGCAGAGGGACTGCCACTCTGCCTTGGATCCGCCTTGGTTGGTTTTGCCTGTTTAACTTTATGTAAGTGTAGTGACACGTGACCTGTTGCAGCCATCTTCTGTTATCCAAGGTAACATTCGAGAAATTCTTTTCTCGTCGTCGATGGCAGCGGTAGTGCATGTCTGTCGCTCGCTTTCTGGTAGTACCCGGTATGACCACCAGACCGCAGTTGGTGGGTTCTATGGTGGATGGCCATTTAGGTCTTTTTCAGTGGGAGAGAGGCATTTTTCAGTGTGGGACTGCTATGGAGATTCTCGCATGTATCTTTTTGTGAATAAATGTACATTTTTCTGTTGGGAACGGACCAGGTCTGGGATTGTCTTGTCACAGAATGTGCCTATGTTCAGTGTGGTAGATATTGCCCAGCAGTTTCTTGAAACAGTTGCTGTGATGGATGTTCCCATCAGCAGTGCGTGAGCGACACCCCCCACCCCTCCACAGCCTCCTAGGAGGTCATGTGACCTGCAGGCTCTGGGCAGGTGTGTGGAACTATGGCTTTGTGGTTTCATTTTGCATTTCTTTCACAAATCATGTGGTTGAAAGCTGATTATGTTTTCTTCCCATTTTCTAGTGTTTTTTTTTTTTCCCCTTACTGAGTTGTAGAACACTTCATGCAGTCTTTATAAATCTGTATGTTGCAGTTATCTTCTCCTCTGGGTAGTCTTTTTGGTCTTCTAAGTGTGGCCTTTTAATAAGCAGAAGTCTTTCATTTTAATACGATCCAATTTATCAGTAAACCTGTTCATGTTTTAAATCATATTTAGGGCACACTTACTTCTGTAAAACCTGAGGGTAGACTACACAAAAACGTAAGACAGCAAAGCCTAAATAAGAAATCTAAAGCCTGGGAAGTTAGAAGAAGAAATAGACCTGTGAGATAATAAGACAGACAAATAAGCCATGCAATTCTACAAGCAGGTTATAATTGAGCAGTCCATTTTGCTTGATCAATGCAAGTGGAAACCTGGTTTGTGTACACTTTTCTTTACCTGTGAGTTTCTCAGATAAGATTGTATCCCAAAAAAAAGAAGAAGTTTGAAAACCACCAAAGAGAATAGAAACATTACCTGTGAAATGATACCTCAACAATGTGAACTGTAAGAGAATCACCCAGGTCAGCGTAGACCAAAGTGTACACTTCTGAGGCGAGCTTCAGAAAATCACATTTGTCTTCCTCCCAGACAGACTCTCGAGAGAGTTGAACAATAAAATTCTCCAAGTCGGCATAAAGAAAAAAGAGGAAGAAAAAAAAAAATAAGCCAACAGTTGTGAAGGGCCTAGGAAGGCTAAGGTGTTCACAGGTAGCTGGTAATTTGCACATGAACTCACTGACGGTGTGTTTCACCTTACAGGTTACTCAACGATAGTTATGACCTCCCGGTTACGCGCGTTGGGTGGAAGAATTAATAACATACGCACCTCCGAGTTACCCAAAGAGAAAGCTCGATCGGAAGTCRTCTGCAGCATCCGCTTTTTAGATGGCTTGGTCCAGACCTTTAAGGTTAACGTAAGTTCTCCACCTTTGCTTTCAATGCATTAGTGCTCCAAGGAAACGGTTCTCATCGCTCAACTTACAAAATGAAGAAAAAGATGATTTTAAGATGAAAGTTGAGATGTCCGGTCTGGTCTCTTGAGACTGGACTGGAAATACTCCTGGAGCCGTATCCCATGCCTCGCCGTTGCCCTCTCCTTTGTGACGTGACCCGTAGGGGTCTTGGCTGCTGCTGGTCCTGTGAAGTCCCCGCCGACCTCCTGAAGCAGAGCTGGTTCTGAACAGTGGTGCCCTGCGGGTGCCTCCTGGGATCCCACGTCACGCTGCAGTTTTAAAACATGGTTATAATCATTAGATTACGTGTCACCTACTAAACTGTGGGCTCCTGGAGGACAGGGAGGGTGTCCTGGCTGGCACCGGGCTGGGTACACAGCAGGTGATCGTTAAATGTGTGAATGGGTGGGTCCTAAGATGGGCAGCAGGAGTCCTGGAGATCCTGGCTTTTCCCACTTAGCCCTTGGCAGAGCCAGGGTTGGGAACAGGCCTCCAGGCCAGCAGCTGTCAAATGTGGGGACCGTAGCAGCCCCCGCTGGCCATCCACTCTGGTCACTGCCTACGGTGACCTTTGCCTCTCTCCCATCTTCTGGCCAGCCCTAAAGGGGTCAACCCCAACCTTGAACCTCAGAAGGCCTAGTAGGTGAGGAAAGGTGTGAAACAGAGACACACAGGAGAACAGTCTGGGGACCCAGAGCCCCTGCAGCTCCCACCCACCCACAAGCTTGCCTCCTGGTGATCCCAGGGGCCGGGACCTTGGTGCAGGGAAGAGGAGAGGAGCCTAACAGCATCATGGGTGCTCTGTCTTCTCCCGGACTGGGAAAGGACCACCACCAGGAGCTGGGCCCTGGGCATCTGCCCAGGAGAGGACGAGACTCAGGTCATGGGCTTTTGATCTCTTGACCACAGAATGGAGGTGGTCAGCGGAGACTGATGTCCTCCGGGCCCTAGCTGCTTCCCCAGCTCCCAGACCTCCAGCTCTTCCCTAGGGTCCAGGAACCATTCCTTTGAGGGTGGGAAATATTTTTGTAGCAAGAAAGGAAAAATCCATCCGGGGACTTCAGTTGTCTAGTTAGTTGTCTCCAAAGTCTGATTAGGGGGCTCACATAAACCCCTGCGACCTGGTGGTTGTTGTTTTGAGGCTGGGGATCAACCCAGGGCCTCATGTGGGCTGGGCAAGCCTCTGCCGCCCCCCTGGGAGGGGTTTGTGAAGCCCCTCTCGCAATCTCCTCATAGGCTGATGCTTTAGGCCCTTTTGGCAGGGTCTGGCACATTTCCTCCAGAAAGCAGCTACTTTGGTTCTTGTGTAGAGTTTCCTTTTCAATAATATGAAGCCCTGAGAAGGTCACGGGTATTGTGTCTGGATGCTGCAAGGTGACCGTGTAATATGTGTCTGACTTCCTTGTTAAAATCTGTTTGTGTTGGGGGTATTCCTCTTCCATATGGCTTCTTCCTGATCCGACGGTGAATGTTCGCTAGTAGGTTACTCATTTATCCATTCAGCAAGTGTTTACTGAGCCCTAACTCTGGGCCAGCCTTTGTTCTGGTTACCGAGAAAATCATAGTGAGCAAAATAGAGCACAGTCACTGCCTCTTGAAGTTTACAGCCCAGTGGGAGGAGATGGGTGGGACTGTCAGTTTTTAGACATGATGGGGGGGGGGCCTCACTGGTAAGATGAATGTGATTGTCTGGAGGAAGCACATTCCAGGAAGAAGGAATAGCAGTGCAAAGGCCCTGAGGCTCCTGAGGCCCATGTAGTGAGATTGTGGAACAGTATAGACGCCAGTGTGTCTAGAGTGGAATAAGCAGAGAGTAGCAGGAGGTAAGGTCAGAGGGAGAACGGGGGTGAGAATGCAGTGGGGGCTCATGGAGAGCCTCTCAATCCTTCTGGGAGCGCCAGCTTTCACACTGTGTAGCTTTGGACAGAGACTTGACACGATCTGGCTCAGGTGTCACTTGTGAGGCCATGTGGGCAGTAGCCAGGGAAGGAAAGGGCTGAGGGACTGTGGACAGTCTCGGGAGAGATGCTGATGAGGGGGCAGAGCGAGCTTGTGGAGGTGGCTGAGTGGAATCCATGTCTGGAAACACTTTGAAGACGGAGCCAATAGGATTTGCTGAGAGCCGGGATCTGGGGTGTGAAAGGCTGAGAGAGCCTCAAGGTGACGCCAAGGGTTTTGGCCTGAACAGCCTGGCAGCACAGAGTTGGTGTTTATAGAGATGGGAAGGCTGCGGGAAGGGCAGGTTTGGGGTTGGAAATGACCAGTTGGGTTGTGGACATGTGAAGTTTGAGGGGCCAATTATCCGTCTCCATAGAAACGTGGAGATGAGGATAGAGGCACCCGTCGGGCTGGGGTCATAAATGCGGATTTCACCAAGGTGGAGGCAGTGGGTCAAGCCATGAAGCTGGGTGAGACCACCTGAGACGTGAGTGGGAAGAAGACAGGGCTGAGGCCTGAGGTTTAAAGGGGGTAGAGGTGGCAGAGGAGGCTGAGGGGGACCATCAGGGGAGGCAGGAGAGACCACGCAGCAGTGTCTGAGGAACTCGGGTATAAATGCATTGTGGGAAGGAGACCAGCCCTGTGACGAGCGGGCAAGGCCAGGGCCTGCCTGGGGCGCTGGCCGTGGGTCTCAGAAGGGGCCCAGAAGCTCTCGGTGGTCACATCATTGTTCTCCTGCTGCCACCACCTGGAGCTTGCCGTGGCCTGGTCCAGAGCTGACGTGGCGGAGCCCGAGGGCCTGGCTGCGGATCAGAATGTCCCTCGCATTGTGTGGGAGGCCGACTTAGCATGTGACCAGGTTTGCTTCCTCTCCTGATCGGTGTGGCCCTGTCGGTCACCCCATGATCTGGTTGCTTTAAGTAACCGAAAACGGTAGCCCTGATCTTGAGGATAGAGAAAACGCAAATGTGTCTTCATGCATGGGCGTGCCTTCCCGCGGCCCCGTGGGTGGAGCTACGCTCGCCTGTTCCTTTGAGATATGACCCCTGGCCCTGTTTAGGATAGAGTGTTCCACAGAAACGCCCTTTGTGTGTCCCCTTCTCTTGCTCTGCCCTTGGGTGTGGCCTTCCTAGATGTCATTCAGCCTGCTGACAGCAGACTTCATGAAGCTAGACTCAGCCCCCTGAAACCTGACCCCCTGCCTCATTTGAATGGCTTCTCCTCAATAAAAGGGGTCAGCACATGGGCTCTCTCTCTTTCTGCGGACCCTTAAGGTCAGAGGAGCCATCACAGAACCCCCAAAGAAAAAGGTATTTCTGTCTCTCGTGCGGTTATTTCGTGCAGCCCAGTTCCCCTGGAGTGACCCTGGGTGTTTAGTCGCGTGGAACTCGACAGGTGGCGTCCCTGGGTGGGCAGGTGTGTTCCTGCCCGTGGGATGGCCGCGCAGTCTCCCCCGACTCTAGCCTGGACTGCTGTGCTAGGAGCGTCCCCGGGGAAGCTGGCTGGATGTGAGCCATTCCCACCCCAGCCAGGAGCCCGGGGGGGCCGCTGGCAGTGAGCCAGGGCAGAAGAGGTGACCTCTTGTGTGGTGGGGACAGGCCAGTCCTTATTAGAAATGTGTCTTTAATTCTATTTCAATTTCTTTCGAGAGTTGGGTGAATCATACGTAATTGATCCCCGTGTGCTGGAATCATGCACTGGAGGTGTGGTGCGGGGAGCACTTGAGCCCTGGTGTCAGTGAGACCCGAGTCGGGGTGATGGTGCAGGGCTCGGAGCCCCTCGGTGCCTCTGCTGCTCCCTGGTGAAGGGGCTGCTGATGGCTGTTTTGCAAAATTACCACAAATATTGGAGGTCAGATGTGAAAAGTGCACGTGGTATTATATCTGCTGCTTGTAGACTTCCAGTAAGTCACAGCTGTTAGCAATACGTAGTAAATGTAATATGAAGTCATATTTAAGTAATGAATAGCAAGGGGAGCAGATAGCTCTTTGATGCACTGACTTTTTAAGTCTCGTTGTCCCAAATGTGGGACGCCTATTAAAACTTAAACTGAATAACAAGTATACCACTTAGGGTGACTTTTGAAATAAATACCATGTTTTTATTTATTTTTTCAATTTTTTTCCTTTTCTACAAGTCATAAAACCCAGGGTTTTACACGTGCTAGGCAAGTGACCCACCACTGAGCGGCATCCCTAGCACTGTTTTATATTTTATTTTGTGGCAGGGTCTTAGTTGCCCAGGCTGACCTTGAACTTGTGATCCCCCTACCTCAGCCTCCCAAGTAACTGGGATTACTGTAACTGGTGTGTGCCATTGTGCCCAGCTGATACTGCTTTTAGAGTTCTGTTCCTCTGAGAAAAGTAATAGGTGAATGACAACAGTGTTTGAAAAAATGTCTCTACCTGTTTGTATATGTTTCATGTACATATGTAAGGGCATTGAAGCCCTCGATAATGATTTTCAACCCACTTTAATGAGCCTGTGTCAGTTTTGTGGAAATATCCTCACAGTTGTAAACTCGGGGATGGGATTAGGGTTAGGAGAGCCCCCTACAGCTTGGAGGGCCAGTGTCTCAGGACTTGGGATGTGGGGCCTGATCCTCCTTCCTGCACCCATCCAGATTCTCATGGGGTGGGCGAAGCCCTGGTTGGACGAGAGGGCAGGAGGGGCCAGAGGTGTGTTGGGAGATGGTGTATCTTGAGTTCCCCTTGCTGAACAGATCCTGTGAGGCTGCAGGAAGGGCCTGACTGTTATGGAATTCTCCTGGTCCCGGTCACCGCGACCTATTTCCAAGTCCATTATCTGTTGTCAGGCACTCAAAAGAAGAGCTGCTCCTGTCGCGTCTGTGCCCTGTCCATTTCTGACTCACGTTGTCCCCATATTAAATGTTTTGGTTCAAAGGATTCCTGAGAAACCTGCCTGTTAAAATAGAATTTGTGATTTCCTGAACATGCCCGGCTATTTTTGCAGCCACGCCCCACCCCACCTGCCCTTCTACCGTGCCTTTGCTGTGCCTGGCCACCCAGCCATCAGCCTCAAGTGCCTGCACACCTAGAAGTGTGTGTCGTCCTCGGCCCTGTCATCCTTGCAAACCCAGATATCAGGGGTTGCTTCTGCTTGTCCCCAGGGGAGTTGACCGTTTGTACCGTCGTCCCCTTGGGTTCAACGTACTCAGCGGGACTTAATAATCCATGTTACAGCCACTGCTTCCACGGCCAGCAGGAGAGAGACGCTGACCCTGGCTCTGTCCCGTGCTCACACGCGCCTTTCTGTAAACACCGTGTGGTGAAGCGGTGCTGTCCCACTGTGGAGTGAAGCGTGGCTGAACATCCTGCCGGCTCCTCAGCGAGGCAGATAATCCCACAGGGCGACACAGGCCAGCTCACTCTGAGGGTATTTCCAATGGCATTCAAGTATTTTTAGCAGCTGGTCAAGAGTTTTCCTCCCCTGGGTCCCTACAGGGGCAGGAGCCACTGGCGTCCCAAGGAGCCAGCAGAAGCTGACCCTGGATTTGTGTTCTTGGCGGGTGATGCTTGGTCAGGTCACGGTGAGGTTGCTGTGGTCATAGTGTGTGGGTTTTCTGGTTCGGATCCCCCCCCCCCCCACTGAAGCCTCAGCTGGGGAGAAGGAGAGCTCAGAAAGCCAGCTCATACCGTCTCACATGGAATTTACCTAGTATGGTCTCAGCCCTCCTCCCGAATGCGCTGTGCAGCCTTGTCACTTGGAATTTGAGGTCACTTTTGTTACTGTGGGAAGTGCACGTGTGTCAAGTCTCTGGCTGTATCCGCTCCCTTCAGTGGGCAGTGGAGAGGCTGTCACCACCAGTTCTTAACTTGCTTTCAGATTTTTCCCATTCTATTTTTATTTATTTATTTGTTTATTTATTTTCCCCCTAGAAACAAGACACTGGCCAGTCGCTGCTGGACATGGCATACACCCACCTGGGCGTGACTGAAAAGGAGTATTTTGGTTTGCAGCATGGCGGCGACTCGGTGGACTCCCCCGTAAGTGCCAGCCTGTAACATGTGCTGAGCTCCTGCCCAGGTTGGTTTTATAGCTTGTGTTTTCTTACCAACAGAGATGGCTTGAGTCAAGCAAACCCATCAGGAAGCAGTTGAAAGGTTGGTGTGATCTTTTCTTTTCAGTCCAACATTTGGTGTGTGGGGACTTGTTTCTTCCAGTCAGCAGGATGCCTGTCACACCTGCTACCCAGATGCCAGGGGACTCGGGAGACAGGGGTGAGCTGCCTGCTCCCCATCCAGCTTCTGAGTTAGCGGACGTGCTCGCAGATCAGCCTCAGGGTGCTCAGCTAGCTGTGGGCGAGGAGGGGACAGACCAGAGTAGGTATCTCAGGGGAAGAAGGAAGGCCTTTCTCAGCCCAGGGTGAGAGCCGGGTGGGAAAGACAGACACGTACCAACTCTTTTATGTTCCACCATCATGGTGACAGTTCCTGGAAGCTGAGCCCTGGGTAGATAATGTCTCAGACGTAAAAGATCAGTCCTTTCACAACATGGCGTTCCCACCACGAATGGCTCCCCGTGCTGTAGGTCAGCTCCCAGGTAGCTCCCAGCCACGCCTCACCCACACTGCCTGGATCTATTCTTAGCCTGGTTTTCCACCATACTGTCATGTTCCCATCAGAGCCCCTCAGACCCCAGACAGACCTGGCCAGTGTGCAGTGCCTTCCCTCAATCTGTTCCCTCCCCTGAGAATGGATGCCTCTGTCCTGTGCCTAACTCCTGCTCTGTGTCAAGGCTTCCAGACCCCATCTCCTCCTACCAGAAGCCATGACCTCTCTGTCTTCCCTTCCTGTTGCACTGCCTGCTTTGCGGCTGCACACTCTCGCCCTCGTCTCATGGTCTTGTGCCCTCGGCTTCCTCTCAGAACCATGGTTTCTTGAGGGTTGGATCCTTGCTACATTCCTCTCTGCATTGCTCCTGGTGCCTGACAGACAGGAGGTAGCCAGCGAGTGGCTGCGGGGTAGCGGGCAGGTTAACAAGTGTACAGACACATAACGCCCTCTCCGCCTGCCCCAGGCCTCAGGTGGGAAGAGCAGACAGTAGTCATGGCTCTGACCCTAAGGCTGCCCTCTCCTGGAACCACCTCAGAGTTCTTCCCTCCTGTGATCGTGACCTTAGTGTTCAGGAGCACCCAAGGGAGCCAGGCCACTGTTTGAATTCATGGGAATGAGCACACACGAGGCAGGACACAGGCTGTCATGGGTTTTCTCACTAACTCATTCTTGAGCAAGCAGACTGCGGTAAGGCACTGGGCAAAGTGGTGGAAATCCAGCCCAAAGCAGATTTGGACCCCATCCCCAAGTATCTCACAGCCAGGTGTGGAAAGAGACAAGAGGAGAAAGAGTTCTGTGATGTACTAAGCTAGGAGGCCTTGGGTGTGCAGAGGAGGACGAGAAAGTCAAAGCAACCAGGCCCAAGACAACAAAAGTGCCCAGCTGCAGAATGGGGACCAGGAGGGGTGGAAGAGCGTCCCAGGGCAGGGGAGGACTTTGTTGTCCCCTGACTGCTCATGGTCAGCCTGCACACAGCTGCAGCACCACCCACTGGCTCCCAGGCACATGTGCAGAGGTGCACTCAGGGCACATCTACCATCAGGGATTGAACACCAGCAAACAGTGAAGATAGATGGTCCTAAAGAGAGGGGAAGGTGGAACCTAGGATGAACCAAGGTAGAAGGAGGCGAGCCACCGACCAGCGAGGGGAGCAGGCTCGGGAAGGACTTGACTTAAGAGCAAACAGTGCTGAGCACAGAGACGGGACCCTAGCAGAGCATGTTCACCAAGTGCAGAGGGAAGGCGAAGTTGACAAGATGTTGGGATCTTAGCAACACCGTCTTATCTTCTGTTGCCATGTCGATCAGAAGCAATGGACTAATTTTATCCACACAAGTGAACTGACTGGTGTTGATGCACAGTCGTATTTGAGTATGTGCTTTGTGTCATACTCACTACGTATTAATCATTTTAATCCACGTTGCATTGAAAGCATGAAATGTTTTCCAGTATAAAAATGACTTTGAAATGTGGAATAGCAGTCACAAAACTCAGTGCTCCAATTCTGGGTTTCTTACTAGCTGTGTGACCTAAGGCAAGTCACATTTCTAAGCCGGTTGGCTTATCTGTAAAGTGGGGTCATCTATCAGTAGCAGCTTAGCCTACTCACAGTCATAACGGTGTTTACATTCTGGAATGTACATGAAAATGTTTCATCGCTGTATTAATGTAAGCTAGTACTTTGTGAATTGACTTAAAGATCTTAAGAATTCCTGGTAGAGATAACAGAGTGCATTGTGTGAACACAGCCTAAGTTAAACGGGATTGACGTTAGCACTGCTACAGCCTCTGCTGCCTCAGTGTTCAGCCTCTGTGTTGTGTGAAGGCTTCATGTTTTGTAGACTTGGGAGTTTTCTGAAACAGTTAATTTATGCACTCCTTATTGGAAATTAGTCCTCTTATAATGGAAAAACTATGGTTGAGCTTAAAACTGTGGTTGAGTTTATGGGAAGAGTAGTAACTTGTATGCATTGACTTTTTTTAAAGGGGGAATCTAATGTGTTTTTGAAAAATGTTGTAGGAGGTTTCCCCTGTACCCTGCATTTTCGAGTAAGATTTTTTATACCTGATCCCAACACACTGCAGCAAGAACAAACCAGGTAATAACATTTTCTTAAAGTCTTCTACTTAGTGTATAAAATGTATTCTTCATTTTATGGTAACGGTCAGACGACTTCATTTGGGTATAATTGCACCATCAATTATGATTGCAATTAGAGTTTGGGATACATATATTGAAATTTTGATTGGTGAATTAGTTTTCCACTGTGGGCCTCTTCCTCTCACCTGCTTTGGTGCCATTTCCAGCACACTGCTTCCCCTCCTCCCTCCCCCTCCTCCCTCCCCCTCCTCCCTCCCCCTCCTCCCTCCCCCTCCTCCCTCCCCCTCCCCCTCTGTGGCCTCTCATCAGTGGACAATGGAAAGCCTGTCCACTGATGCATGCTGGGTTTCGGAGACAAATGTGTAGAACAATTGTCCACAGGTCACATAGCACAATATCTCTGAAGAACAGGAATCCAGGCCCTGGAGGATGACAAGACACTGCTGTAATCAGATGTTTTGATCAGGTCCCAGTTTGCAGGGGCTGGGAGGGGAACAGGCTAGATTTAGCCTGTCTGTCACTGAACCAGCAGGTGCAGGAAGCTTGGGAACCAGATAAGGAGGAGGCCTTGGTGGAAGCTGTTTACCCCCCAGGGCTGGAGTCTGTGCTGGCTCTGGTGGTGCTGGCAGGTGGGATTTCTGGGTGGGGAACAGGGCATTTAGAATGGGGGTGGGCAGCCTGGAAAGCTGCTGCTGTCAGAGCGTGGGCTGTGCCAACACTCCACCCCACCCTGCTCCGTGGCAGCATCAGCCCCTTTATTACCCATCCATTTACTGTTCTTAGGGAGAAAAACTGCTTCAGGAGGAAAAGGCTCACGGTGGCCACGAGACCATCCCACCGAGGTGGCACTGGCTGAGGGCAGTCTCATTTCCCTTTCTTCATTTCCTTTTAACATTTTATTTTTTTAGTTGTAGATGGACACAATACCTTTATTTAATTTATTTATTATTTTTTATGTGGTGCTGAGGATCGAACCCCGTGCCTCATATATGCTAGGCGAGCGCTCTCCGCTGAGCCACAACCCCAGCCCCATTTTCTTTTTAATGGCCATCACACAATCACATTTTAGCTTTTAATAGGTTTACTGGATAAGTGTCAGTCTATTACTCTCTTGCCTCTTTGTGTACCCCTTCCCTCCACAGTAGCAGACACTGGGAATTTGGTTCTTTGCTGTTCTGTTAAATTTTAAGCCTGTGTACAGGGCGGGGTTCAGTGTGACTCCCTGGGTCATGGCGAGGAAGTGTACCCTGCTTGGGGTCCTCCTTCCACAGCTCTCACCCTGGCCAACCTGCTGAGGCAGAGCCACTCAGCTCATAAGCTGATGAACACAACACTGGTGACACTGTCTATGAGAAGTGTTCCACACGACCCTACCAAGGCCTCCCCAGACCAATCCTAAACAACAGATTTTGTTTGAGGGATACTTTACAATGAGATGAAGAGTTGGGTCTAAGGACATGTACCTATAGTTCCAGCCAATGGGAGGCTGAAGCAGGAGGATCACTTGGGTTTAGGAATTACAGACCAGCTGGGGCAATATAGTGAGGTCCCAGCTAAAAAAAAAAAGACATGAATAATCATGTGTGTGTACATATGTGTGTGGGGGCTATATGTCATTTACTCTGTGTGTCATAGGTGTGTGATTACGTTTATGTCTACACGCAGGTATGCATAATCCCATTGTGTACATTTCCTGTGTCGAGTGTTGTAATGCAGTACCCACACATACGGATTGCTGAAGTAAAAGTTCTACAAAACCAATTCAAAGGGCTGGGGATATAGTTCAGTTGGTAGAGTGTTTGCCTCCCATGCACAAGGCCCTGGATTTAATCCCCAGCACCACACACACACACACACAAATTCAAAATACATTTGACCCACTAAATTGGGTTTACCATAAGCTGATGGGCTCTGGTCCCAGGTGTGGACAGTTCTGCCCAAACTGGTGATTCTCACTATCTCCTTGTCTTCTCCCTGTGGTGCTGGGGCCCCAGATTTGTGGCACCTGCTGGCATGGTAGAATTCTCCAGTGATAGAAGCAGAGGGCAGGATCTCCAGGGCTGGCTGACCCAGGAGTACCTCTCCAGGACCCTCGTGGTCGTTGGCTGTTCACCTGTGACCCTGTGGGAAAGAAGCTTGCTGCTCTCCTGGGTCTGAGAGGCTACCTGCTGAGCACTCCCATCTCTGGAGGGGCAGGTGTTTGGGTGGAGAGAAGGCTCAGGGAGAAGTGAAGCTGCTGTCAGCTCCCCCGGGAGGAGTTGTAGAAAGAGGGAAGTTGGATGTGCTGGTCAGGAGTTATGGCCCGGTGCGGTGCGAGTGGGGGCTCCAGAGAGGCAGACTTGAGCGCCAGACGAGCAATAGGTTAACACTTGTCCTTCCCCAAGTCCCAGGTAAGAATTAGTTTGTCCCTGTCTCTTAAAGTTCTCCAGTTCACATCTGACAGCCCACTCACCACCGAGAGGTGAGTGTTCCCTGCTGTGTGCTGCAGACCGTAGCTACTACCTCCTGGGGCACGGGCACCAGGTTTCTCAGTGTGGCAGAAGACATGGCGGCCGCCATCCCTGTGGCTGCTCTAGAGCTGGTGGGCAGCTGAGACTGAAGAGTTGTCTTATGCTGGGTCAGGATTCCGCCATTAATTCACACGCTTTTTAAAAATTGACATGAAAGGTTCCACCTGTTTCCGGGTATATAGTATCTTATCGGGCTTGAGCTTTGAAGCTTATCCAAAATTGAGGGCCCAAGAGTCAGAGGAGTAAAGAGATAGTATTTGTTGGTTTTGTTTCTTTTTAAGGAGAAATTCAGTGCTTTTTTTTCAGAAGTTGAGGTCATGGATGGGATTTGCTTCAATAGGGGTCATTACATTTCCAGATTTAGGCAGGCTGAGTTTATCTTGTAAATAACTTTCCTTTATTCTTACTGCTAAACCAATGTCTTTTTTATTATGAGCCTCCACAACTGCTGTTTCTGATAAATTTAGATCGTTCTAAACAACTTCACTTACTGTCAGTCTCTAAAATTTAAGCTCCTTTTCACGATCCCCATGGAATCACCTAAGTTTGGGGTGCAGCTCCTGATTTTAGTTTCTTCACGTGTGATGTTATAGGGTCGACTCACAAACTTCGCTCAGCCTATGATGAAGTGGCACCTGGTGTATGGCGACCTCATGGTCGTGTTCTTATTTATATCCCTAGGAAAGCACAGTGACCTGCTGGGCTCTTCAGCACAGGCCCAGCTTGACCCGTGGACTGTCTATAACTCTCTCCGCTCCCTTTTTTTTTCTCTCAGGAGCCCTGTAGGAGGAGAGAACACTTAATTCTGGTTGAATGTCAGCTTGGATAAACATAGAAACAGACTAGAAAGGACTGATCCTGTTCTCCTAGGTGGGAAAGAGAGGGAGTCCAGTATTGCAGAGGCATGATCAGCATGTACCCAGTGCCGACTCTGAATGCCAGTGCCCCACCCATTGTGGGTAGTGATGATGATTATAATCAAAGTAGTAACATCAGTTAGGACATAGACCCTAAGCCTGTCTGTCTTTAAACACATAACAGATTTGTTGCGTACTGAGATTTTTCTCATGAGTTTCTAGATAAAAATAAGTCATAGCCGACCTGATGTGCCCTATCTGAGCTTCAGTTTCCCTGTCTGTAGTAATGGTAGAGGTGATGGTACCTACGGACGGCACCATGAGGAGGCTGAAACGGGGGGAAAGGTTAGAGTCCCCGGCACACAGCTCAGAACTGTGTGGCTACGAGGCTGTGATACCGTTTGAAGCATTCACATCTCAAAAAGCCAGTCCCTTGACCTTTTATCAAACCCAAGGAATATGAGAGTGAGTGGGTAACTTTGCCAGAATACCCTTTGTCCTGCCCCTCAGCCCTTCTGCCCTGTCTATATTAGATTTCAAGGTTTCCCTTTTGTCGTCTTGGCCAGACCCTGGAATGTCTATCCCATTTGAATCTGGGTTTTAAAAAAGAGTGGGAGCTGGCAGCCAAGAGTCACATGTGTGGCGCATCCCTAAATATAAGTGTCTCCAGGGTACTGCCTGGCCTGCCCCGCGCTGCTCCGGACCTCCCTGCTTCCATCTGTGACAGTGGCACAGACTCATGGGCTGAGGGGCTTGTGACAACTTGTCAGCAAAAACAGATTCAGGCTTTTGAGGTTGAGTCTACTGGTGGCTCACAGGGAGCGCAGGGCACAGCGTGGAGGTGCTGGCACCTTCTCCTTTACCCATGTTTATGCTTCTGCTCCAGCACCCACAGTTCCCGGGACACAGGAAAAGGCCCAGCTGGGCGTTTGCACCCAAGCCAAGGCGGTGTCTTCATAGACCCTCCTCCTCTTAGCAGCTTCATGCAGAGGGAACGTGGGTGTGCGAATGCTGGCTCGGTGTTGGGAACAGTGGCCCCGTCAGCGTGCGGGGGCTGCTTGTGGAGAACGCTGTGGGTCCCAGGGCCTGGTTGGGAAGTACCAGGCTGAGGGAGGGGGCACTTCCTGCAGCAGTACCAGTGGTAACAGCCAGTCACTGGTGGGTTGCTTACATATCCCTGCTTGACCTTCCCTGGGGTGGCCCCCACCATCCATACATAGGCACCAACGTGAGCAGTCCTTACCACTGGGGCAGCTTTACGATATGCAGAGTAGCTCCTGATGTCCTAGACCTGCTACCAGTTCAAATACGCCAAAATGTATTTTTATGTATTTTGTTTTTCAAATGTCTAGGTCTTGTTCTTGATGCATCAAAAAAAATTTGTTTTTTGCTCCTTTTAGTTTGATAATGAATTAATGGAAATCCTTGTTTTGTAGGCATCTGTATTTCTTACAACTGAAGATGGATGTTTGTGAAGGAAGGTAACGAGCGTTTTGCATTTTCCTTTTCCTGTCGGACTAGCCAAATTCATGGTTTTAATCTAATGAGTGTGTATTTCTGACAACAATATTAAATCTCGACAGTGACTGGACTTTGAAAACAGCATCCTGTGTGACATCAGGCTCTGGACATCTGTTTTCAACTCAGTCTTGGCTTAGAGAGGCTAAAGATTGATAAGCTTCATTTTATGCTATTTCTGCTTTATTTCAAAGGTGCAGTTATCTTTATGGTAAAGACCTGAGAAATCTTAATGGGAGGAAGAGACCCAGAATATAAAATGGGCTTCATTCAGGAAGGCAGATCAGGCCCAATTTAGGTCCTCTTCCAGCCCCTGGTATCTTGGATGATTCATTTTCTCACTGGGAAGGCTTTTGCTTAAAAGACATGAGCATCTGCCTGTGATTCAGCACTTCTTGTGTATCCAGACCATCTAAATGACTGGTAGCTCTCCGAGACAAGCCCAGAAAAGGGGGATGGAATTCCAAGCAAGTGGTCCCGGAGCCGCTGCTTCCAATTCCTTAGTATTTTCTTGACTCATAAAAGAAACTGCAGCAGGTAAATTAGTAGAAACACCCCCTCTCTCCACCTGTTAGCTTATTCCTGCAGAGAAGGGTCATCAGAGGCCACCAGCACGCTGTACCACAAGGCAGCTGGCAGTCTGGTTGGGGGAACAAGACAGGAGCCCATGAAGCAATTAGGACCAGCGTTGGCAGTGGAGACCACAGTTGTCACGGCGTTGAGGAGCTCCTTCTACTGGTGCGGGCTGGAAAAGTCTTTGTGGATTGCTGGGGTGAGCCAGATTTGGGAGAGTAGTGAGGAGTCAGATTTCCCTGGGCAGCAAGAAGCATCACCCCCCCACACACTCACACTCACACATACACACATAGTCTGAGCTAGAAACCACCCATCAGCAGCATGCAGGAGAACAGAGAGGACTCTTCATGTCAAACATGGGCATGCATCTCGCATCCACCAGGCAGAGGAGAGCAGTCGAAGGTTTTTAAAAGCAGGAGGAATGTGGCAAGAACCACACCTACAACCATCATGTCAGTGCACACAAGAGAAGACTGGAGGAAGCCAGGGTTCAGTCTAGATGGAGGAAAGTGGACATTCCCGGGGGAAGCATTACAGACCTGCCAGCCAGAGGTCTGGGGGCTGGCGGGGAGACTGGAGGGCCAGGAGGACAGGTAGAAACAAGAGCCTCCTTGGGGAGAGGACAGCCAGACCTGTGGACTGTGTATGGGTCACAGAATGCAGAACCCTGGTGACATGGCAGGTTTTTTCCTCGAGGTAGGAGCACATCCCCTTGCCAGCACAAACTGTGGCCTTGGGGCACCTGCTTGGTCACTCCAGTGGTGGGGATCTCACCCTTCTGAGAGGCAGAACGTTTTAAGATAACTCCTCTCCTGGGGCCCAGGCTTCCTCTACGGCCACAGAGACCTGTTCTGCCCTCTCTTCTGCACATTTTGTTTTCCCAGATACTTTGCTGGTACCTGTTAGGAGACAGGTCCTGAACTATGCAGTTAGATAAGGCCAGGGCTGCCTCCTCTGCGGCTGTCACTCACTCACAGGTGCTGGGCAGTGCTTGTCGTCCTCTTGCCTTCTCCCAGCAAAACATCCCTTGTCTTCCTGGGTGGATCAGTAGGTGTCTGTTGAGGAGCACATCTGGCTTAGGTCCCTGGCTTTCCTCATCAGGAGGCCCTCACCCCTCTCCAAGGAGAGCTTCTCTGCTGTCACACCTGCTTCTCAGGTGTGAATCAGGCTCTTTGGCCAGGATGTTTGACAGGCTTGGCAGTTGGCATTTCTTGGGACCTCAGATCCCCTGATGGGGTCTGAACTGTGAGCAGCAGGACTGCAGGCTTCAGCTCCTTCCTGCCTAGAGGGTGATCAGTCCACGCTCTTCACCCACTCCCCTGGACCTGGCAGAAAGAAATATACCTAGGAACAAGCAGAGGCTGAGAGCAGTGCTCTTGGTGTTCTTTAGTGCTCTTGGTGTTCTTTCCATTTTTTGGAAACGTTTTTCCTTGTGACTTTGTAAAATTGTTGCTTCCACCCAGACTGAATCTCCTTAGCTTCCTCCTCAGGTGTCCCCAGATCCCATTCACCTGCTCTTCCTCTAGCAAGGACGCTGGCTGGATGGCAGCGAGGCCCTTCTTGGGAGGAGAGTGAATGGCTGATGCTTGTCACGTACTGCCTGCTCTCCCTCCGCCTTTTGCATCTCCAGGTGACTGACTGGACAGTGAGCGTCCCTGGGACGTGCACGTGGACATGGACTTGGAGAGACGCTCACAAGTGCCAGCAGGAAGCCAGAGTTACTTGAGGGGAGGTGGAGGCCTCTCTGCTAGGGAATGCTGCCTTTGTACGCAGCCTTGGGATCAGCACAAGGTGCAGTGGATGGAAGGGGGACCCCTGGAGGGCCCAGCAGATCAGTCAGAGGGCGGGATGTTTCACATCTTGGGAACTTAATAAGCTGCCATGGAAACTGCATGTTTTCTCCGCTTCCCACTGCGTTGCTGGGAAGATGCTTTTAAAATCTCAGTGCCTCTCGGTGTTGCTGTTGGGGATGCCTCCCTTTATCAGATCCCTTCCACCTCGCACTTTCCCGGCCCATGCTCCCATCCAGCTGTGCTCCCATCCAGCTGTGCCCCACGTCTGCTGGCGGAGCTCCCAGGGAGACAGATCATGGAGCCAAAGGTGAATGGAGGAAAGGAGCAGTCAGGACTCCAAATGTGACTGACGGGTGGAGTCACTGGTGAAAGTAGGGCATTTGGGAAGACAAGTGAGTTCTGAAGAAAATGAGAACAAGTCCAGCCCAAGTCTGGATTTCTAGGAGATGGTAGAAGACAGGCAGATGGATCGTGGAACCTTATAGATCTTCAGGAGGGCAAATATATACAGGAACCTTAAGTCATTACAGCCAATTAATTAATTAGGGAATTGCAAGTGTTAAAACGCAAAATGCTTTTTCACTTTTCCCTTCTAAGAGGATGTGAGAAAGGGGATACTCAAGAATCATAGTCTCTAGAACCCAAGAATCCAGTCGGAGAGCCCTACCAAAAGTGTCGCATCTTTACTAGAAAGATTTGAAGGCTGCCCACTGGTGTAAGAGTTTACGTTCCTTACCGTTCCTCTCGGACGTGAATCTGACCAGCCAACCTGCTGGCCAGTGTCAGAACTCTGTCTAGCTTCCTGGTATCTGTAGTATTTGTTATTTTAAACACAAAAAATTCTTTTTATTTAGAAAAAAAAAACTAAAACCCTTAGTGTGTTACAATCAATCTCAAGGAGTGATTAAATGTATCATAAAGTTGTCTCTGTTATGAGTCATGCTGTCCTCTGTGGTTAATACAAGAAAAGAAAGACCTATGAGCGTTTTGGGCCCTGCCCCGGACCATGTGATCTTGCTAAGACGTTTTTCTTCTGACAGGTTGACCTGCCCTCTGAACTCTGCTGTGGTTCTTGCATCCTATGCAGTACAATGTAAGTCACCAAGGGAGTGTGGCAGGGAGGGACAGATTGCTCTGAGCAGTATGTGGAGAAAGCCACCAGCTCCTCTGTGACCAAGTCCCTCTTCCCCAGGGACAGTGTAGCTCTGGCTGTCCAGATAGTCCCACTCGAACCTTGACTTTGATGCTCTCCCAGCTTGGGGATGTTGGATGAAGGGAAGTGGCACCAGGGGAGGACGTGGATGAGCTCTGGCATGGTGTCTTCTCCAAAGGGAGCCATAAGGCAGCAGACAGCTGCCACACATGGCATTTTCCAGAGGCTTTGCCCAGGTATTTGGATTTGATATCCATACAAACCCCAGTGGAGCAATATTTATACAGGTCATCTCTTATAAACATGGAAACTGAGACCCAGCTAGGTCAAGGAATTTGCTGGAAGTCACTCCTGCAGCATGCTTGGTGCCTGTCTGAAACACTGCTGAGAGCTTATGAATTTATTTTTAGAGTTTCATTATAACTAATGAAATAGGTTCGTAACTAATAGGTTATGAACTGGTCTATAGAAGTGCTGTCCTTTAGAAGTACAATTTAAAAGCCGTACACGTAGTTCTGAGCTTTCCAGTAAAATGAAACAGGACAGATTACTTTTTAATGTTTTAAATTAACCCAGCATATTCAAGCTATTATTTTAATATGTAATCAATATAAAAATTATTAATGAGATATTTTACATTGTTTTTCCTACTGTCTTTGAAAACCAGTCTGGAACTTATGCTTTCATCTCCGATTGAACTACCCACACGTGGCTAGTGGCTGCCATATTGGATAGAAAGTCCAAATGGAATTGTCTATCAGGGCTGGTTTAAGCTGGAGTAGAAACCCACTTGTTCAATTAGCACAACTTTATTGAGCGGGTACTCCATGTCAGGTCCTGTGATAGAGGCTGGGTTTGCACAGTGAAAAAGAGTACATAGTCAGATGGATGACAAAATATCACTTTATAGTTAGCTGTGTGATTCCAGTACAGTACACAGGCATGTTGCTGTGTAGAGTTATAGGGTAGATAGCTCAAGACTTAAGAAATCTCCTCTACCTTTGCCATAAGTCCCAAACCATCTTGGCCTCTTACCCCCTCAATTGACTGCATGTTGGGCAATTAAGGGAGCAAGATGGTCAGGTCTCAAGAGTAAGCACTGGCCAAATTATTCACTCTATAGGCTCAGAAGAAGCAAAATAGCAAAAGAAGGTTACCAGGGGCTGTTGAGGTAGCCCCAGTTCTGCCTCCTCCCCTAGCAGCAAAGTACTGAAATAAGAGAGGTGAAGGTGAAGAGCAAGGTAGCTGGGCCTGCAGCTCACCTGCCCACATACGTGGAACCAGGAAGTGGGGGAACACAACATCAGGGGCAACTTCATGCCTTTAAGCAAACAGCAAGCCTACTTGCTAGTAAGACAAGACCCAGTACTGGTCTTCATCTCACCGTGTCTCCTCCTGCCTAAGTGGGACTCTCAGAGCTTGCCCAGGGAGTCCTGGGTGGATTTGAAAGTTTCCCTCTCCCTGCAGTACAACTGGAACAGACCTGGCGTGTGGTAGCCATATAGCAGGTGGCGCAGCCATCAGTCAATATGCACTTCTGTGGGTCTCTAGGTTTTGCAGACCCACCTCTGCTGGGTGGATCAGCTGAGGAAACCAACCTTGTCCACATCAGAGTGAGTTGGGTGTTCATAGCTGGAGCTCCAGGCTTGAGAGAAGGGGATATTAGAAAGGAGACAGTCACCCCACTTAAATCCTGCATGCTCCATTTGCTGCTTACATGGTATTACCTCTCTGAACCTTGGATCTCTCGCCCGTTAAATGGAGATGACAGTAATTCGCAGTATGGCTGCAATATTATTTGGTTCAAATTTAGTAACACATGCAAAGGTGGTCTAGCTAAACACTCTTTATGGTTTGATCATCATTGACTGAGTCAGAACATGGACTGAAGCCAGATTACCTGTGTCTTGGCTCTTCCACTTACCCTGTGTGACCTTGAGATCGCCAGGCCACAGCTTCTTCACCTGTCAAATGGGGACATGGGAACACCTACTTCACAGGGTGTGAAGATAAAATGAATGAGCACGTATGTACGTAAAGCTCTTAGATCAGTGCCCACAATCTGGCCCAGTGTCAGCTCTTACTGTATTTTCCCGACTGCCCAGAAGAAAGCTATTCCGAAAAATTGCCTATTACAGGCTTTAAATGTAGAGTAAAATTTAAGAACTACATTTAAAGCATCCTGTTCCAACCTTCCATAGTTAGCGCCCCCCCACTCCCCACAAAATATTGATAAAATGAGGGCTAAAGAAAATGATTAGACCTAAAAAAAAATGCATATAGGTTTCAGTGGAAATATTAATACTGCCATGCTAATAAAATCATGAGTTGTCAGGCAAGCAGTTTTAAGTATAAGCTCTTTATATTCCTCTACCTTCAGTAAATAAATACATATATTTGCATACTTCTGTGCATACCTGTCTAGAAGATTAATTCTTAGATATGAAGTTACCAGATCAAAAAGTTATGTCTTCATTTTATCTGATAGGTTTTGCTGACTTATCCCAAGATGGGTAACTTATAAGTCCTACCAGTGATTAGATAACCAAAAGCACTTTTTTTTTTTTAAGTAAAATGATCTGTTGGTTAAGTACCCCAAAAGACATGATGATAAAAGATAGCTAGTAACCTGTCAAGGGTTTATGAGGCACAAAGAATGAAGCTTTTAGAAATTCTTATTTATTCCATAATATTCTCAGACCTCCTGCCACATGCAAACTCTGTGCCAGCCTCAGGAAGGAGAAAGCTCACTGCTTTCCCCGAGGACTTTCTACCCCATTAGTGAGGCGGGTGAGGACCTGGTGATGTTTGCTGTAGAATGAGCTCAGGTGATACTCCCCGTCCTGCTTGGGAGAGAGGGAGGAAGTCCAGAAAAGCATCCCAGGAATGAGCCCATAAAGAGCCTCTGGGAGCAAGTGGGAGTTGAAATAATAGCAGGTAAAGGACTTGCCCAGCATAACTGCTTGATAGCTGGAAACACGGCACTTTGGGAACCTGGGCTGGACCCTGTCTTTGCTACATATAGTATGCCTGCATATGTTTGGTCAGCCAAAACAAAAAACATGAAACTTGAAAGTCAAGGTATTTTGCACAGAAGCATTTATTTCCTTTTTGTTCTGCTACAAGTAACTTTTGCACTTGTTGCTTTCCTTACAAATAGGAAAACTTTACTCAGGAGTTTGGGGCAGGTAGTGGAAGTAGGCAGATAAGAGGAGGAACTCTGGTCAGGTCTAGGCTCCCAATTAATAATGGTCAAGGAGTAGTGGCAGTAGCAGGTCCCTTTTTTTTTAGTCTCAGTTTCTTTACCTGTTTAATGGGGATAAAAGCATTGCCCAGTTCTGGGTTCTCAGGAATCAAGGGGGATGACGTCATTGAAGTCTGGTGGAAACCACCCAGTGTTCTCAAATGTTTAAGTGGCTGTTTAACTTTGTCTCCCCCTAGTGGTTAACACAGAGCTTTGTACAAAGTAGCTGCTTAGGAGTTGAAGGGAAAACAGGGAGGTTCGTTGGTCGCATTTAAGTTCAGAAGGTCTTTCAGTGACTTGACCCAGGAGAGAACCTTGCAGTTCATGTTTGCACAGTGGCACTGGGATTGGTGGGGACTGTTGATGGATAACCAAGTCATTCGGGAGGATCTCCATGAACTCATGAAACCAACAGAGGAAAACTAAATAGGATTCTGCTTTCAAGCCCAGGAAAGACATTTATTTGTAGCATTAGTTGGTCTTTGGGGGATATCATCAAATGGCCAGCAGCAGCCTGCTGACCTGACAGGAAGGCAGGTAAAGTGTTAGAGCACTAGCAGAGGGCCTCCAGTCCCCAGTTCTGGCCTTGACCCTGTGGACAAGTGGCCCTATGATAGGAGTAGATCCATTCTCCTCTCTGAACTTCAATTTCTTCCCCTTAACATGAAGGCTTTGGATGAGGAGATGCTAATGCTTTTCTCCCTGGTACTCTGTGTCCAGGCATCTCAGTGGTTCCTGTAAACATACTAGTCACACTCGAGAAAATAAAGCATGAGGTCAGTTATTCTTCAGAGCTCGAGGTTGGCTTCTGTTTTTTTTTTTGTTGTTGTTGGTGGTGGTGGTGTTCTTGCGGTGCTGGGCCTCCCCATGTGCTAGGCAAGTGTCCTACCATTCTCCTGCTTTTATGGAAATAGAAAACTGTCTTGGAGAAGGGAACTGGATGTCCTCAGGTCCTGCCCCTGGTCCTTTTCCCTGATCTCTTCAGCAGGAGGCCACACAGTGGACTGAGTCCTTGGGGCAGCCATGTGTATTTGTACCAGTTGGGCCCAGAACAACCCTCAGGAGTACCTTGCCTTATAGACAGCACTTCATGTCTGCAGACAGTAGGACAGGGCTTCAGGGAGAAGCGTCATCTGGGACAGGGGTTAGTCTGGAAATCCTCCCATAAAGCCTCTCTTCCTCTTCCCTGTGTATCCCCCCACCTCCACTCTTAGAATGGGTCCTCCTCCCCTGGAATCCTGCCACCAGCCTTGCCTGGGCCCTGACTTTTAACCGCACCTGTACCTAGCCCTTACCTCCATGGCCTCTGAGCATATCCTGGGGGTTTACACAGGTCACAGGGGGTGAGTCATGACCTCTCTTCTGCCCAATCCCATTTCTTAGAGCCAGCTGATCCCACGTTGCAATAGCCTTGGGCTGCGACAGTGCCCAGAGGCTGACGTGAGGACAGCATCTTCCTTGGTGGCATCCCTTCTCTTTCCTTCCCCAGGGGTGTGAGGCAACCTTAGTGCTGAAACAGGGTGCAGGAAGCGCGGGGTCAAGGATAGGATCTAGATTCCAGCACCTTCTTCTAGCTTTCTCCGTGTGTCCTCAGGGGGAATGAGAATTGGGTCGGTCCTGTGTGCTGGTTTTGGCCCCCAGCAAGGGTTCAGATAAGCAGCGTGGAGTCTGAGAGGCTGCAGGTGGGGGGCAGGAACTCATCAGAAGATGTTTCCAATTAATGTTTTCTCACGACTCTGTAGCTGCTCATAAATGCAGACCGTATTGAAAAGGCAAAACTAATTCCAGTTTCCCCCTCATTCTGTCTTTTAATAGCTCATTTCGGAGACTTTGATTCTTCCGTACATCATCCAGGCTACCTTGCTGACAGCCAGTTTATTCCAGATCARAACGATGACTTTTTAACCAAGGTGGAGTCTCTGCACGAGCAGCACAGGTGAGGGGCTCGGTGGCCTACTTTGGGAGCTCGGGTCGGGTATTTTCAGACATCGCATCACCTTCTGATTAATGCAAACTCTCCTTCCTTTTGCTCATGATTCTCTTTGAAGATGTCAGGGGTTTTTGAACCTCTGTGCTGTGACGGTAGCAGATACAGTGAGCATGACCAGCATTTCTTTGCAGTATAAAATCCAGCCGGCAGAGTAGGACACGGCTGCTGTGTTCCTCTTCAGGATGTCGTTGAAATCGACTTAATTCCTAAAGGAAACACCTGTTTTGAAATCTGAACGCCCCACCGATTGCCCCCACCAGGCAATCCTTTCGGCTGTACCACGTTGAATAAATCAGGCCTTTCCTTCAGGGGTCGTTGAATAGACAGACAGGTGGCCAGAAGGGCCTGACAGGCTGGACATTCATGGGTTCAGCTTGCGAAAACTGCTTCCAGTCTCCTGTGACTGCCTAGGGCCAGCCTCGCCCAGGAGATATGCCCAGCTCCAGCCTCCTCCTCCCTTTCCCCACTGGGCTCAGAGCTATGTGGCAGCAGTACAGTTCCTGTCAGGCAAGAGCCATGCTGGCCCAGGAGGCTAGCTCTCAGGGGACCGCCCGCTCACTTCTTAGGAAGGCCATAAAAACAAAGGGCAAGCTACCAGTGTCCCTTCTAAGAAGGCGCTGCCAGTCGCTCTCCCAAAATTGCTCCCCTGGCAGAAGTCAGCATCCGAAAATAGCACAGGGCCAGCGTCATTTGAAGTTTGAGGCCACTGCTGAAAGAATAGACAAAGGCAGAAAGATGTCAAGATTACCTGGGAATTGAGTAACCCAGGAAGATCAGGGCAGGGACCATGGGAGGGGAGACCTGGAGCCTGTGGCTGGAGACCCAGAGCCCCCTGCGTGGGGCACTGCGTGAACAACGTCTAGATGAAGTCAGACTCAACCGACCGAAGGAAACCTGGTTCCTTAGAATTTAGGGTGAGGTGGTCTGAGAGTGGCCATGTAAGGCGTTTCCCGACCTCAGAGCAATGTTACCAAATCCTCTAGATTTTCCGAACCTTTAAAAGTCGGAGTTGACGTTCCCTGTTTGTCTGGTGAACCTGCACCTTTCTTCTGCAGTGGGCTGAAGCAGTCGGAAGCCGAGTCCTGCTACATCAACATAGCCCGGACCCTCGACTTCTACGGGGTGGAGCTGCACGGCGGCAGAGTACGTAGCCTCGGCGTGTTTTGGTTTAAAATATATATATCTTTTAATTTTTAAATTGTAAAGGTTTGGAAAATTCCTGGATGAAGCTGTTCCTTTCCCATTAAAACAGAGGTCCTTTTGAAAGATACTCAGAGGGCTATTAAGTCGTGCCAAGCTTTGCTGGTCATTTATCTTGCTTTGTTCATGGTTGCCATTATACATGAAGACTTTTCCCTTTTGAGAGAGGTCAGGGGATAGAAACTTATAATTTTCTAAGACTGTATTATGGTTAAACAGGCAAAAAAAATGTGTATAAATCCATTTTTCAAGGTTTAATGAGTCAAGGTTTCTGCCACTTCACTCAGCCACTGCTCAAATTAGAACTAGTTACAAACAGTTTTTTTAAAAAATTGTGGAGGAGCCGGGCATGGTGGTGCAAACCTGTAATCCCAGCCACTCGGGGGGGCTGAGGCAGGGAGATCTCAATTTCAAGGCCAGCCTCAGAAACTTGATGAGACCTTCTCTCACAATAAAAAGGGTTGGGGATGTAGCATGAGATCCTGGGTTTGATCAGTAAACCCCACCCCCTCACCCCCACCCCACCCCCGCCAAAGAAAAGTTATGGTGGTATGATTGTGAAGATCAGTAAATATTTAGGATTATTGTGATTTGTGAGACAATGTCTGTGGTGCCAGTGGATTATTTAATTTTTTCTCCCAATAATGCCACAAGCTAGGTATTACTGTCCCCGTTTTACAGATGGAGAAACTGCTAGTTGGGGACTATACAGAGGATATAAAAAGTAGCTGAGTACATGGCCCCAGCACTGTCTAATTCCCTCCCACCTTCACGGTGACATACTCGTGTTTTCTACCTGTCACCGGCCCATATCACACCCACAAGGAGTAAATGTTAGTTGAACTCCAACTATGTGCCAGTCTTTGTTCCATCCGGTCTCATTTTAAGAATTGTAGTAACCTTGTCAAATTGGCCTTCTAATCTTGCCCATTTTACAGATGGGAAAACAGGTTCATGGATGTTGAGTAACTATGTAGTGCGTCTGCAGTTGATAGAAACACTTCCATTTCTGTGTTTCCCTTGGGTCCTGTAGAAGCCTGTGAGGTAGAAAAGGCATAACTTTGCCAACAAAGCAGGAAAAAGATATCAGATCTTAAAAAATACCAACTCTGGGATTTAAACCTTAATGATCACTCTTATTTGCAGATAGTTCATCCTTGACAGAATGTTTTGGAGACATTTATTCGGTAGCAAGACAGGATTTTGTGTCTGTCTGAGTTGATCTGTGTCTTCCCCACCTCCAAGCTGTCAGTGCAGTGACCCTCAAGGTTTCTGAGGCAGAGGCTTAGCTGCCCAGCCAAGGCCCACAAGGTATTAGAGGGGGTGGTGTCCCACCAGGCTGTGCTGGGTGAACTGAACCCCCCAGATGTCAATAGCTTGAGACCACAGAGTTGGCTTTTCAGGAGGAAGTCAGTACTGCGTGGGGTCCAGCCACCTCTCCAGGGCAGGCTAGGCTGCTCGGGGCTCTGCTTTCCTCCCATGTGGCTTCCTCGTCATCGTAAGCCTGAGGGTCCCATAGCAGCTCTTCAGGGCTGCAGCAGAGGCACAGGGCATGTCTGCTCAGAGCACATTGCCAGCACTGGTCCCGTGGCCCTGCCTTCTGCCAGGGGAGCTGGGGAATGTGGTGTTGGCCACGGGAACCTAATGGACAGCAGCCATCCATGATGCGGGGGTGAGGGACACACGGAGAGGCTATAAAACGGGGAGATTTGAGACCAGTCCTTGGCCTACTCAAACCATTCATCTCCTTATTCACTCAATTTTAATTTCATTTGCTAATTTGTTGTTTTCTCCAAATGGCAATCACAGCTGTCCTGTTTAAATGCTGCCCTGTTCTTCATCGTGCCAATCTGGCTTGCTCTAAGCACATGATTTCAGTCGGGCTGCTATCAGGAGGAATACTCTCTGGCCTTTCCACCACAGTAGGACCCTTCTCCCTGTCCAGTTTCTCTAACTTCCTTTGTTCATATTGCTGCTCATAGACGATATGTCCCTCAACCAAAGGGGATCAGCATTTATCATGCCAACTATATGCCAAACCCCATTCTAGACGCCACACACCGAGCCCTGTTCTACATTCCTTCTCATATTCTCTGGTTTTAGCCTATCAAAATCCTTTGGGGTGGGTTCAGTAATCTAGTGTTCAAAAAGAAAAAAACAATCAAAGCTCTTCTGAGTCCCAAACAACATGTCTGGCAAGTGGCAGACCAAAGGTACATGCCCAGCTGAAACCGACTCAGACTCCTTCTTTACAGCCTCAGGTATCTGACAGGGAACAGGAAGTACATGACCCAAGGGAAGGGGCCATCTGTATTTTTTTGGTTTTATTTGCTTATATTCAGATGGATTTAAAACAGCTTGGAGTGTTTGTGCTTCCCTTCTCCAGGGTCTCCAAGGACTACAGCGTGACTGGCGCTCTGTAAATGTTCTTAGTAAATGTCAGTTGTATTGGACTCGTAAGCCACAGTTATTTCTTAATTGGATTTAGAATCAGTTTTACACTTGTAATTTTCCCTCATCATATCAGAACAGCGACAGCCTTTTTCCTAATGGGAGCTGAGATTGTACAAACCATGCAGAGAGAGGCCTCTCGGATTTTAATGTGGCTGTCAAATGCTGATTTGAAAATTTAGAACTGAATGTCTATTTAAGTGATTCTGGTGACTTTCTAAACTAGGTGACCAAGAGCTCTGTGTGTGTGTGTGTGTGTGTGTGTGTGTGTGCGCGCGTGCACTTTGGAAGAATTTGGTGCCAAGTACTTGGATCTCAAGTAGCTATTAAGTGGGGATTTTTGCCTGTTTTCAGTAGCATTTTCCCCTTTGGAGCTTATACATATTGCTATTTATAAAACTCTGGATGCTTTCAAGTTACTGGTGGGCATTAAGCAAGACTGTAACACTGCAAATCTGAGATCTTCCTTTTTCACAGGATCTGCATAATTTAGATCTAATGATTGGAATTGCTTCAGCGGGCATTGCTGTGTACCGAAAATACATTTGCACAAGTTTCTATCCTTGGTAAGTGAAAACAGTTCTAATTATTGTCTGAATCACGCTTTAAAAATACGCTGAACAAAAGTAATTTTACACTTTTTTTTTTTTTCCCTAAAAGAGGGGTAGAGATTTTCTCCCAAACTTTAACCTCAGACCTCAGAATTTGATCCAAATTTAGTAAACCTGGGAAATGTAGAGTTTGGTTTTCATTAGCATCCTCTCCCCCAGTCATTCTGTAGTTTGGGGGTATTCTGCAGAAACATGGTGGATAAATGGTATGAAGTGGATCTGAGTTAAGAAAGCCTTCCCATCCCCCTGCATCTGCAGTACAATCCAAGACTCCCAGGGTTGCCTGGAATTGCAGATGGTGCCGAACCCTGTACACACTATGAGTTTTTCCTTGTACATACATATGTGTAAGTCAGGCACAATAAGAGATTAACAGCAGTTAATAATAATAACATAGAACAATTACATTAATATGCTGTAGAAGCCAGGTGTGGTGGTGCACTCCCAGGTTAATTCCAGCTTCTCAGGAGGTTGCGGTAGGAGGATCAAGACTTCAAGGACAGCCTGGGCAACTCAGCAAGATCCTGTCTCAAAAATAAAAAGAGCTGGAGATACAGATCAGAGGTTCAGTCCTTAGTACTGTAAAGTAAACAAAGATCCAAAATACTGTAATGAAACTTGTGTGAAATGTGGTCTTTTTCTTTAAAAAGTCAACACAAATGTTGGTATTTTCAGACCCCAGTTGTCCATGGGTCACTGAAATCATGGGAAGCAACAGCACAGAGAGGAGGGGCTGCATCAGGGTTGAACTGAATTTTGGAGAGAAGCTGGAGCCTGAGGTACCAGGTGACAGGATGCTCAGGGAAACACAGCAAAATAATATCATCTTTATAGATGACAGTGCAGTGGTGGTGTGCAGTGAGGGGGGCAGATTTGCCAGGGGGGTTGAGGGAGTGAGGTCTGCAGTCCGTAGGAGGCGCAGAAGCAGAAGTACAAGCAGGTAAAGAAGAGGGGCTGTGAGGAAGGAAATCAGGGACAAGATTGAGTGCCAGGTCTGTACCATGCTGAACTTGACCCTGGGGTCTAAATCTGCCTCTCTCCCCACAGCAGAGCCTCACTAATTGGGACCTAAAGATGTTCATCATAGCATTGTCTACAACAGGAAAGAACTATCCTATAAGTTTGTAAAATTAGAGGGATAATAATAATGACAGTCGTCATTATTGGCATCAGCTGTGTTCAAGTCCTGTTGCTGTGTACTTTATCTGTGTATCTCTTTTAAACCTGGAGTAAGCGCTGTTGTTATCCCCAGTTTCACAGAAGAGGAAACTCAGGCACAAAGAAGGGAGAACTTGTTTGGGATCAACTGCTGATGCCTGGTACAGTTGAAATTTACACCCAGATCACACTCCACGCCTGTATGCTTGTGCCACCCCTAAAAATTGCATTTGTGGGAAAGTGCTTCAGTAGGATATGTGTTTTACAGACACCGGCTTCCAGTGTTATGGGGCATCTGTTTTTCAAAAAGGAAAACATGTCAGTTCTATCCAGTTTTCACAACAAAATCAGTAAAACAGATAACAAGATCTTCCCCCCGTCTTCCTTTCCCCTTGCCTGGTTACAAACTCCCCTTGGGAAGCAGGAGACTGAGTCTGGGCTTCCTAGCTGGGACGTGGCCTGGGCAGCTCTCCAGCCTGCCCAGGACCAGGACTGTGTGTGGTCGGCACAGGGCTTGCTCACGTTCCCTCCAGATGCTGGAGGCTTCCCCAAAAGCCACAGGGCAGAAGCCACTGGGTCCAGCTCTTCTGCAGCTGAACCTCTTAAAGCCCTATAGGCAGGGGCTTCATGGGATATAGGACTTGACACCCCGCCCGCTCCTGGGCTCACCTGCAGACCTGCCTGTAACTGCCCAACCTCTCAACCTTCAGATGGGTCACGCTGAGGTCTGTCCCTGCCCATGACGCAAACCTCAAAGACTGGAGGCTAGCCCCAAATGGTGGCCCCAGGGCAGTAAATAAGTACTGCAGGCGGACTTCACGAATCGCCCTGAGCCCACGTAGGTAAACGCTAAACCAAATGGGCTTTGGCCTGGTGGAATAAATTTCCCAGGAAAGGTACAGTATGCGTTTGGGTTCAGAAATGTAAGAACATGCGGTAAGTCAAGGGGAGGTGGGTGGTCCAGTCTGGAGCACAGTGTGGATGGGGGGAGTGGTGGGAGAGAGGCCTGGCGGGGGGGCCTCTGGCCACAGGAGTGTAGACTCCATTCTTGGTGATGAGGTGCTGGACTTTCTCAGTCGTAGTGTTGCCCTGACCATGACTGATAGTACACATTTGCAGTTCACACTTGGAGTGCACATAGAGTTAGTTATCTGCCTCAGTGTTCTATTTGTTACTGGTCGCCTTCAGAAGACTCTGCGTCTCCAGATGCCGCTGCCCACAGTCATGTTCCCTGTGTGCCCAGGGCTTGGCATAGGACTTCAGACATCTAGACCCTTTGTACATTTTTTTTTTCTTCCCTTATGAATGAATGGAGGACAGTAAGAAACCACTGTAGGGACTTCATCCTGGAATGATATGGATCGTGTCTGCACTTCATCAGATTTGCTGTGGCAGAGAATGCTGTCAAGTACAGAAATTGGGGTGAGCAGGGGTCCCTGTACGTGAAGACAGAGGGGGAGCTAGAGGCCCACAGATTCCCATGGGCAAAGCAAGGTAAGAACTCAGAAGCCCACAAGTTGGGTATCCTGACTCCTTTAAAACAGGAGTGCCTGCGCCTGCCCTTCAGCACAGGAGAGCAGCAAGGAGACCAGGGAGACGGCAGGCAGGGTATCCTCATGCAAGGACGAGTACCTCAAAAGTGTGGAACCTAACACCTCTGGTCCTTGCTAGTTAGCCTGCAAGCACCCCAGAAATTCACTTGTCAAACAAGTTCATCTGCACCACAGATCATGCATTATTTAATACTTAATATGTACTGTAGGTAGACCACATACTGCTGATGCAACTGGATAAATGTCACATGTGTAGACTTTCAGTTTACCCACCCAGTCTCTCTGTTCTAGAATGCTCTACCTAGGTCTTCCTACGATCCTAGAGATTGATAGAATCTCTATTCCCTGAAGTATTACTAAAGTAGTCTTTAGTGGGGAAATGGGCGTTCCTTGTGTGGATTATAGTCGTGTGAATGAAATTGATTTAAAAAATGAATTCTTTAACCAGTTTTAATGAAAGGAACAAGCACTGAAGGCCTGCTGTATGTCAAGCATCATACTCGGGACTCGACATGCCTGATCACTTGAACCCCTACAAGGCCACTTTGTGAGATAGTGTTACTGCTGCCGTGCAGGAGCCTTCACCTGGCAGGGCCAAGAGCACGGGCTTTGGACCCAGGAAGGTCCTAGGTTCAGATCCTGGCTCCCTAGAACTTCAGGCATCTAGACCCTCTGTACATTTTTTTTTTCTTCCCTTATGAATGGGAAGAATTCCTGACCAAGTGATCTTGAGCACCTCTGCAGTGTCTCCGAGCCTCAGTTTCCTCATCTGAAAACTGGGTATAGTATAACAGTATGCATTTTTCCGGTTTGTTGCAAGACTGAATGGAGGGGATATTTGTAAAGTTCTTCACACTGGCCTGGTATATGAAAATATATTCTGCTAATGACGTCTTTAATTCTGTATGTGCGTGCGATAGAGAGGCTGCTTGACACGTGGCCGTTAAGTAATGGAGCTGGGATGCTGACCCAGGCCTGTCTGCTGCTGCTCTGCACTGCCCTCAGCTGTCTTCCCCACGTGTCCGCCGGCTCTGCAGGGCTGTAGTGTCACAAAAGAAGCTCACAGCAATGACAGCGCCTGGCCCGGCCGTGCTTGTTATTTGAAAGCTACATCACAGTCCAGCGGCTCCGTGCGAGACCCAGCTCAGTCGGCTCCTTGGTGTCTGGCGGAGGTGATGGGCAGCTGCTGCTCATGGTGAAGTGCTCTCCAGGGAGCCGGGAGGCCCCTGCGTCAGGACCCTGGACTAAAGGACACATACTGAAGGGGGTCGGCTACCACTGGCTGATCCCCGATGTGTGTGTGATTTTGCATTTTGTTTAGTTTTTGTTTTTTGTGTTCTGTTTGACTTTCTGCAGGGTGAACATTCTCAAAATTTCTTTCAAAAGGAAAAAGTTCTTCATCCATCAGCGACAAAAACAGGTGAGTTGTGTCTGCACTGCTTTGTTTTCCTGTGTTTTAAAGTTACCTCAGCCCTTAGTTCTTCAAGGGTAGGGGGCTGATGGCCACCTATGTAACAGGGACAAAAGAGCACTGTGGCTCTGGGTCTGGAGGGTCCAGCAGTGCTCTCCCTAGGCATCTGCTTCTCTGGTTGGAGAATGTACTTGCTTTGAAGTCAGAGGTGGTGGGTTCTGGTTGCACCTCTTTCCCTCACCAGCTGGGCAGGGCTGTAACCTCCCCAGCCTGAAATCAATAAATAAAGCCCTCTTCTCAGGGACGGGGAGGATGAAATGAAAGGGCATGGCCAGCGCAGCCTCCAGAGCCCACGCAGAGTTGCAGGAAGTGTCTGCAGGGCCACTTCCTTCCCTAGGTGTGTTGAGAGCTTGGGGGCTTGTGTCCATGTCTTCCGGGAGGAGGCTGATAAAACCCTAGATAACTGTTTGCTTTGCCACAGGGAGAAGCAGGTTTAGAGGTGAGGAAGCTGAGGCTCCCACTGCCGGGGCTGGGGGTGCTGGAATTGGAACAGATCGTTAGGAGTCTGGGATGCCTGCACTTTCCACATCACACAGTCTTGTTGTGATTCATACATGCCATCTTCTGTCATTATACCCATTTCCCAATTTTTTCAAAGATAATCTGTCCTTAAAATGGCCCCACCTAGCAAAGAACCCTTAGAAAGGGAGTATTGGGGCTCAGAGCAAATGAGGGCAAGAATCTGGGCCAGCTGACCCCCCAGCACGACTCCAAAACGCACGAGAAACCAGAAAACCTGAACCCACGCAGAATGAAGGCAGAGCCAGGGGTGAAAATGCTCCTCGTGTCACCCTACTAGGCTTCTCTCTGTGCCCTGTGGGAAGCAGTGGAGAAATCGCCAGGTTGTGAAGCTGCTGCTGTCTGGTAGGGCAGAGGGTGTTTCTTCAGAACAGAGATGTTCACAGAGCTGAATTTTAAAAGGAGCATGTTGGACGGTGGCCCCAAATAGATCCAGCCTCGAAATGTAAGCAGGCTTGAAACGAGTGTTGCTGAGGGCCTCCCCATGAGGAGTGGGTTGTGGCCTTTACCACGGATTCACAACGAGGGTGAACAGGCCTGCTCTGGAATATTCCGCGACACTGTCCCTTGCATCTTTCCTGGTTGCCCCCAGAGTGGCTAAAGCACTCCCAAGGCCTTCATCTGTGCAGATGAAATCTCTTGTTTTTCCTCCCAGACTGAATCCAGGGAACATATCGTGGCCTTCAACATGCTMAATTACCGGTCTTGCAAAAACTTGTGGAAATCCTGTGTCGAGCACCATACCTTCTTTCAGGCAAAGAAGTTACTACCTCAGGAAAAGAATGTTCTGCCTCAGTACTGGACTCTGGGCTCCAGGAACCCCAAAAAGTGAGTATGGTTTTTTTTAGGGGCAGTGTCCACACTAGAAGGCTAGTCACCACTGGGTAGTCGATGTCCTTGGGCCGAGGAGGGAATGTTGTGCCCTTGAGCCGAGGCACTGATCCTGAACCCTGGCTGAAGAGTTCCTGGGGGTGGCAGTGTCCCTGCACACGCCCAGGTGTGTCATATTCTCAGCGATTGTTTCTGGTCCCTCAGCTCTGCTGTCCTCAGAGCCCCCAAGCAACCAGGGGTGCAGCTGCCCCTGCACCCTGTCTCGTAAAAGAGCTCCGGGGGTCATCCTGGTGCAGCATGTGGGACATTCCCACTGAGGCCACTTAGCAGCCTCTCCACAGAACATTAATCCCTTCAGGTGCTTCATGAAGATGAATGAACAGAAGAAAAGGTTTCCAGAGTCAGGTGACCTTGGAATATATTTTATAATGATTACAAAATATTAGTAATTACAGTTGACAGTTACCTAGCGTTGACTTTGTGCCAGGCACACATTTAATTATATTTTATTCTGACAGCTGTCCTATGAGATAGGTATTATTATCCATGGGAATCATATTCAGAATATTTAATGAGTAGTAAAGTAAGGGAGATTTACGTGTGATTCATATGTATATTTAAAATTTTATATTTAGATTAAAACGTATTTAGTCTCTAAAAATAACCATGCAGTTTTTTGTTTTATTTCTTTGTTCTAAGTATAAGAGGCAGCAGAAATTGTTTACCAAGTTATTCTTAGAATTTCTAAATCATTCTTTGGTTCTCTGTGAGTTTCTGTGATTTGTTATGTGGCTGTTTCTAAATGAGGCTCACGTCGGATTCATTACGTGGCGTGGAACTGCATCGGGTGTTTTAGGACTTTCCCCTTGTCTGAAGTCATTGGGAACAGATTCAGTAAGTGGCAGATTTAGTATCAGGGATGCCACTCATTACCAAATGCTCTCTCTTGGCTTCCCATGATCCAAGAGCACATATAAAGTTTTTAGCTCCTACACTACTGTCTAGTATTTTACTCACTCAGTAGCTATCCCTGAATAAGTCTTGAGAATAATTTATTGGTGGTGCTTCTAGGTGTCAAGCCAGTGCACACTTAGCATGCCACGGGGAAGCCCAAGCCTAATTTCCTGCATGGCCCCTCTAGCTAGCAGGGCCCCTAGGGTGAGAGCTGCACCCAGGCCAGCACAGAAGCTGGGCACCAGAGGCAACCCCACTGTCCGCAGGGTGCTCACCTTCTGCTGCTGTCTGGCAGCCAGGTCTAGAAACCCCTGCAGCTGCATAACGGTGGGCCCCACGCTGGGCACTCACTGGGTCCTGCCGTCCTCGCTAGGGCTTCCACGGAGGAAGTAACTCTGAGCCCCAGGGCCCAGTATCATTAAGGAGAAGCTCCCAGGAACCCAGCTGGCACAGCAGCAGCACTTGGTGGCCCTTGATTCTGTAAGACAAAATAGTTTCTTGAGTGTGCCCAGAAACCCAGTGACATTAAGCTCCGAGAAGGTTTCAGTGAGGTGCTGTGACAGTGCAGTTCTGCAAATGAAGGCATCTGACCGAGAAGTGGAAAATCGGCTCTCGTGACCAAGTTACTTAGCATAAGAAGATACTGGAGAGTGAAAGCATGTGGTGTGACCACCGGTGACCCTGCTTTGGAGTAGCAGGTGATCTTGCTCTATAGGAAGGTCACTGAGATGGTTTTAGTTTGGGACTGTGTGAATTTGTGACCTCTGAAAACTGTTGTGACATTATTTATGAGTTAATTAGAATACAGCAATTCTCTTCAGTCAGAATGTCCTGGTACATTGTATTGACTTAGGTGGGACCTGACCGTCCAGGCCAGATGCGAGGTGTCACCGTGAGGGCCTAGACAGCATGTGTCCCAGGGCTGAGCAGCCAGGTTTACATCCTCCCTGGGCCACTGGGATTTTAGTTTGGTGCTTCAGTTTCTTCCTCTACAAAACGTACTCCTCAGCCAGGGGGCTGGGTTCTCGTGATCTACTGTTATGTAATAAACTGTGTCTATTTCGGTGGCTTTAAGCAACCATTCTATTGTATTTCAAGATGTTGTGGGGCAGGAATTCAAGGATCTTAGAAGACTCTTCTGCTCCACGTGATATAGACAAGAATGTCATAGCTGGTGGCTGGACTTGTCTGGAGGGTCCAAGACAGTTTCTCTCCAAGGCTTGGTGTCTTTTGAACTACTTGCTCAACCCGTGCCTGGTGTGTGGTGGAATGATTGACAGGCTAGACCCACCCAGTCCCCTCAGCCTCTTCAGATACACTCTACAGCTGGGCAGTTGAATTTCTTCTTTGGAGGCTCAAAGCTCCCAAGAGCCAAAGGCAGAACCAGCCAGTCCTCCCAAGGCTGAGGCCTGGAACTGGCAAGTGCCTTTGTCAATTAAAGCTGTCCCTGGCAGCACAGGGCAAAGAGTCAAAGAACTACCAGCCATCTTTAGTCACCAAGGGGTCCCTCCGGGCCTGGGGGTTGGTGAGCTGGGGCGCGAGTCAGCACTCCTTCACCCCAGGACCGGCTTCAGCGTGCTGTGCCTTTCCGCTCTTGTCACCTCCATCTACTTCACAGATAGGGAAACCAAGGCTTAGAAAGGTGACGTGGTTGCCCACGCCTAGACATAAATCTGCACATTTGCATCCTGGGATTTTCCAAGTTTACGGGACAACGGAACACTCGTCAGCCCGTTAACCCATGACTCAGGCTTTGGGAATTTGATACGTTAATCCTGGGACCCGTGCAGCTAGTTCCCCTTGTTTTAATGGTCACGTGGTTTCTGATGTAGACCGACCTCAGAGGGAAGGTTCTCCTCGTGATGCCCCCGTGAGCATTTCCATCTGGGCAACTGGCCTTTATTATTGCAAATTAATATTTGACATTCTAGGGGGACTTTGGTTTTGTCTCTCTTTGTTTTTATTGATGGGTTGGTTTTAGGCCACAAGGAAATATGTAGAATGTTTTCCTAAGACATTAGAACTTAGTTGAACGTTCACAATACCAGAACCAAAAGCGTTAGCCCTAAATGAACTTCAGGCTCTTCTCTCAAATAATCCATTCTCCAAGATTTAAATTCTCTAGGTATAAATAAGATTCAGATGTAACCTTCAAAAAACATGGGTGAAATTGTACTTTCTAAGTATATCCTTAGGTTCTCTGTTAGTTACCAGTGATTTACAGGGACAGCTTCTGCCAGCCAGGGTGACAAAGAGCATCCGGAGGGATGGTTAATATTTTCACTCCTGCCAATGTGAGTAAAGTGAGAATCCCTCCAAGTTGCTTGAACTGTGTTTCTGCGTGCTATCCTGGCATTCCTGCGAATCTGGTAAGGTTTGGTTATATCCTGGAAGCAACCAGGTAGCTTAAAGCAGTAGAACCATGAACACATTTTTACCAAAAGAAATACCATAAGGAAAAGCCAGGGTGGAAAGGACCCTCCTAAGGACAGTTTCTCCAGCTCTGCTCCTGAGAACCTGGTTGGTGTCACCTAGGGTTGAGCAGCCGTCCGTCTGGGCAGGAGTGTGGGGAGACTCTGATCCACGTCACATGTGCTGTGCTTTCTTGCTGGCAGTGTCAGTGGGGAAAGTGAACCTGTGTCTGGTTTTTCAGGTCTGTAAATAACCAATATTGCAAAAAGGTGATTGGAGGAATGGTGTGGAACCCTGCCATGYGGAGGTCCTTATCAGTGGAGCATCTAGAAACCAAGAGCCTGCCTTCCCGGTCCCCTCCTATCACCCCCAACTGGTATGTCCTCCTTTGTGCCACCCACCAACAGACACGCGCTCTCTCTCTGCCTATAAATTCCTAAACACAGATGGCCTGCAGTCAGAGTCTCTGTGTGCATTTTGGGCTGTTGTAGAGATAACTGTTTTCCTGAAGTCTACAAGCCTAGCTAAACATTTCCATAGTATATAATGTTGAAATGTTCTTTAAAAAAATTTTAAATGTTTAAATTAACATTAACTGCACATCTTATGGGGTACAGTGTGATGTTCTGGCCCAGGTGTACAATGTGTAATGACCAGATCAGGGTAATGGATATATCCATCACCTCAAATACTTATCACTTCTTTGAGTTGGGAACATTCAAAATCCTCTCTCCTACTCACCTTGCAGTATATAGTTGCTGTCAACCACAGTGACCCCACTATACTAGAACATTGGAAGTTATTCCTCCTATTCAACTGTGTTTTTTTAAAAAACACATTCAGTCTTAATAAATTTGGAAGCTGTCACCTGCGGAAACGCCTTCTTAAGAGTTGTAGTGTGCGTTAGCATATTAAATGCTCTGAGAAGTCCTGTGGTAAAGAAGCACAAGTAACTTTATTTAGCCTTACATTTCCTGTTAATATCACACAAAATAAACTTTGGAAATAGTCGATAAAAATATGTGATGTAAGTGAAGTGAGGCTGTGTGACCCTCAGCAACAGCAGCAAACACCCCCTTGGTGGGGGGCTGCTAACTTTTCAGGGTGCAGCAGCTAAAAAGGAGGGAGATGTGAGCGGATGGGGGTGTGGCTGGTGGAAGGGCCCTTGCCAACGTGCACAGGGCTCTGGGTTCCATCCCTAGCTCTGGAGCGAAGGGGTAAAAAGTAAGGATGTGGCCATTTGGGTTTGCAGCTGGAAGACCCAAATGCAGAGCTTAGCTCTTCTGCTAATTAAGTTTATTTTTTTACCTCTCTGACCTCAGTTTTCCTTCTAGGTAAGGGTCATGAAAATTACCACAAGTCGTCATTTTATATTCATATAAGCAATTTTCTTAAGTTTGCTGTATATGATTTTATTTAAAAAGAGCCAGGTAGAATTTTTCCGTGACTGTTATATTATTATAATGGCCCCAAAGATACCAGCCCATTTTTGTGCCTGTCTGCAGAGAGGAGGCGTCAGCAAAACGGGAAGCAGGCAGGGAAGTCTTGCCCCAGCTCCACTTGGAATTAACAGTGTGGCTTTAAGACAGGAGAGCCTGTGAGTCCCTGAGCCAGGATCTCCGAGGACAAAGGGAAACTGGGACAGAGCCAGGGAGAGAGGCTGTCTGCAGGGCCTGCTGGGAAGGACCCTCTGCCGGGCGCCAGATGCCCTGAGCAGAGTGAAGATAATTTTCAGTATCAGAAATCATGATCTGATGAATAGATTTGCTTCTTGGTTTCCAAGATTTATAATGTTTTGATCTTCCAGGATTCTAAAGAGATACATTTATGCTCTATAAAGTAGCAGCTTCCTTTATCTGGAACTCTCTCTGGCAGCAGCACCAGGAACCAGAGAGCCCTGGGTGGGATCCAGAACAGCCGGGCTGGATGTTGCCACCCTCGTGCCCTGGAGCTCTTGATGCTAATTATAGGCCCTCTCCTAAGAGAGTCATAGGACACAGCACTATTGATTATTTGGACTCGGGGAGATGGCAAGTCATGGGGGTCCAGACAGTCCCTAGGAGAAATAGCTATCAGAGAGAGGGAAGATGGAAACACCGTGAGGGAAGAGAGCATGCCCAGGACGACCTGCCGCAGGTGCCCAGGTGCTGACCCAGCGTTCTGAGAAAGTGTCTTCAGTTGGCTCATTCTTAGGAGCCGTAAGTGCAGGGACGGCCCCAAGGTACAGGGGACTTGCCTAAGGTCACTTGGTCACTGCTGCTGTTGGAGAGCAAGGCAGCACTTGGACGTCCATCTCCCCACATGTGGCTAATAAGGGATGTAGTCTGAAAAGCAAACATTCCCTTCTGGGATCAAGTGAAATTCACACAAAAGGATGTATGTCAAGGAAACAAGGTTGGCGTTTTGCCGAGAAATTCACTTTGGCTCCTAAACTTTTTATTTACGTTGTTCAAATTGGTGAGAAAAATTCTGATTGGCACCTAGTATGACGTCTTGATGCTAGGTCAACAGGAGTAAGCTGCCCGGCTCTGACTTGGTAGCAGCGTCAGCCCAGGCCTCCTTAGCAAGGCCAGCACCTGATCCCCATCATTAGGCCTGGCCAAATCCTCCGTGTCGAATTTGCTTTCAGCGCTTTGAACTTAACCTCTCCCCACCCAGGCGAAGTCCTCGGCTCCGGCACGAGGTCAGGAAGCCCCGCCACTCCTCTGCTGATAACTTGGCCAATGAGATGACGTACATCACGGAAACCRAAGACGTGTTCTACACCTACAAGGGCTCCCTGTCCCCCAAAGACAGCGATTCCGAAGTTTCTCAGAACCGCAGCCCACACCGAGAGTAAGAACCTGTGGCCTTTCCTCTTCCCGTATCTGCTTCTTGGCCGTCTATTGAGGCATTTGCTCAGGTCCAAGTGGCCTTGAGAGCTGGTGCCCACAGCCAGCTCCCGAGGCTGCTCTCTGCCAGGATGAGAACGGGGAGGCCACCTCTGGGCCCCGGTGTGGTGCTCACACTGCTTTTCATCTGTGACCGAGACCGACTCTCCATGTACCTGTCAGTCTCTCGCCTTCCCCTCTAGTTCGTGAGCAAAGCTCATTTTAAATTGTTCCATGTTGCGGGGGAAGACTCCAGGGCCGTATGAACTACAGCTTCTTTAGACTGTTTGAGCTTCGCTGTGATTGCGAATCACTGGGAAAGTGCTGAAAGCCTTCTTAAGACAAGAGTACGCCCTGAGGGATTTTGTTTTCTTTTCATGTTTAATAGTAAGAAGGAAAAAAAAAACATGCTAGTTAGAACATCCCTGATTGTCAAATTTTGTCAAGGACAGTTTGTTCTAAATCCCTCTATTTCCCACTCTTTTTTAATGTGACAAATTCCCTTCATTGATAAGGCCAGGAAACGTATGTCTCTTCTAGAAGACTGGCTTGAATTCTTTGTTATTCAGTAACATGTGGCTAACCCTTAGTTCCCTTTTTGCCTTGCTTACCAGGAAGCTCAGAGCTATGTGTTATGCTCACTTGCATTCACTTCCCTTAGCCCAGGTTTTTGATGGAGCCCCTTCTATTCCTTCCTTACCTTTCTTATACAGTTCTATCTATCTGTACATTTTTAGGGAAAGCTCTCTTAAGTCATTTTCTGTTTGTTTGTTAATATTTTTAGTTATAGGTGGACACAATAACTTTATTTTTATGTGGTGTTGATGATCAAACCCAGGGCCTCACACATAGTAGGCAAGTGCTCTACCCCTGAGCAACCACCTCAGCCCTCTTAAGTCATTTTTGAAGCAGACAAGACAGGGGTCATAAATTAAATGACTTTTTAGTTTAAAGTATGATAGGAAAGAATGCACTGGTAGGAAATGAACTTTAGTCTTTAGGTGTCCATTCTCTTAAGCCCCAGCCTATGACCAAAATACAGAAAGGCGGTGCCTCCCCCTCACAGCAGAGGGTTAGCAAGCGGGCTCCGTGTTAATCTGTCCATGCTTGTCACTGAAGCTGGAGGCTTAGGGCACTAGGCACATCCTGATGGCGCCTAGACACTCGCAGGTGAACTGCAAATCTCCTTCCCACTCCCGTGCGGGAATGCTGCCTCTCCTCTACCCCACCCACAGCAAACATGGTCTGGTCTTCCGCTTATCTTCATTCTCAACGCCTCTGGTTAAATAATCCCTGTGGTCATTATTTCCTTGTGACCTGAGCTTGATGGTGCTTTTCTTGAAATGATTGTGGAAGCCACAGAGAATGGGTATGAGTTCCTTTGGTGACCCTTGTGGCTTTGCAAACCACAAGCAAACCTAGAAGTACAGGCAGGAGGACAGGTGTGCGTGACCAGAGCCAGTTTGACTCCTCTGTGGGCTCGGGGCTCTGCTGCTTGGCTGAAGGAGAAGCGGGTGCAGGGAACTGCCTGAGGGCTCACGGGAACCCACGTGCCCTCCCCGCGCCAGAGCTTCCTACTGTGGTTTGCAGCCCCCATGGGGGATCATAGAGCACCCTGACCTTCACTGCCCACTGGGATAGCCACCAGCTATGGACATTCAAGGTAAAATGTCACCATTCAGTGCCTCTGTCACAGAGGCCACATTTTAAATGCTCTGTCAAGCTTCGTGTAGGGAATGGCTCTCATATGGGACAGCACATATGTCGCCCACTCCATTTGTCACCGGAAGTGCCATTGATCCTACTCGAGACTGAAACTGTTTTCTATTATTCATTGAATGTGGAGTGAACTCCCAGAATGTCTCCAAGTAGAAAAGGCACTTCTCAAACACAATGACCTTTAAGTTGGGGTCTAGCTGCTGGCTTGCCATTGGAGCTCTTCCTACCTCTCACCTGGCTGCTTGGCTATGGAACCAGGTGGCCTCTGGGCGCCTTATGGCCTAGCTCCCTCCGTCACTTCACTGTGTGGGGTGGGCCTGTGCAGGAGAGATGCCACTCTTCTTCACAAGAGTGGCTTGTGGCTGCTCCAAGGTCCTGTGTCCCGCCGCACACTACGCATCCTCCGCTGACCATGGAGGGGGAAATGTGGAATCACATCAGACAGAGCTTGGCCTTCAGGCACCAGCTGGGCTCTGGCACCTTATCAGCCTCCATGGTCACACTATGGGGCTCTGCGGCTTTGGAGAACTGTCGCAGGGTTCAGGGAAGCCCAGGCAGCTGCACGTCCTACATCAGATTTTCCCACTGGTCTGCCTTCTGTGGAATTGTAGTACACCTAGGCCGTCCTGGCCCAGCAGGGGTGCCACCAGCCACAAGGGCTGTTGACATTTAAGTTTGTGAAAATTAATGAAAACTCACTTCCTCAGGCCTGTTGACTTCAGTGAGTTCTGGCCCTGCCCACCCCTGCGCAGAACACCCTGATTCTCCGAAACGCTTCTCTGCGACCCTGTACCAGGTCTCTTCCAAGAACACTTTTTATTTTGCATCTAAATATTAAAAGTAGGGTGATTTAACGACAGCCTTCCTGCTGGGGTTTTGCCAGGGGCGAGGACCCTGGGTGTGAGTGGACGTGTTGCAGGAGGCCCGGAAACTGGGGAAACCAGCACCCCTCACCTCAGCTAGGCAGGGGACCTCTTCCTGCTGTGGGAAGCCTCTCTGCTGGGGCTCCAGAGGCCACCAGCTTTCCTGAGAGCCGGGGGACCCTCCACTGCCCCAGGCCGGGAGGGCAGGCTGGTCTGTACTTGGTGAGAAGAGCTGTGTTGGTTACTTCACTGAGTATTTGCAAAACGTTTAAGAAGAGTTTGACATGTTTTCTACAGCACATTTGTGTTACGAGGCAAAAAGAAGCATTCTGTCAGAGAAATCAGATGAATAATACCACAGGCGGCGAGGAGGGTTTCTCTGAAGAGGAAGCTTTAAGTGTCATGTTCTGTACTTGCTTAAAGACAAAGAAGCAAGAGAGGAAAAGAGTGGTTGGGCTCTGGCTCTCCACCCAGAGCAGCGCAGCCGGCTGTGGAGCGCGGCCCTCGCACATGACTCACTCCGCCTGTTCCGCATTCGCAGCGGCACAGGGTTTACGCTGGGGCTCTGAGGCCTTGGCAGTTTGCTTTGGGCCCAAGCAGGCCGTCCTTGGCTGCTGTCCCCATGGCTCTACCAGCCATTCTCGATCCTTTCCTCGATTCCAGGGGAAGAACAGACTCTACAGAGAAGTCAGCTTTCCTCCTGGCAATCATAGCGAAAGGGACCCCACCTCCCACGCCCCACCCAGACCCAACAGAAAACCTGCCTTGCCAAGCCCAAGCCGCGGGAAACAAAGAAGTCTCTGCTTATTCCCCGGAGCCTGACTTCTTCCGCCAGGTCTGGGGCAGGTGTCACTTTTTATTTCAGAACCTCCCTGCACTGAGAGGGACCTTGGGAATCTCCTCCTTCAGTGGCACTAACATCCAGGCCCCCAGGGCCGGAGGACCCCACCGTTGATGGGAAGCTCCCCTGCAGCATGGCCGCACCCTCTTCTGGACACTTGGGTGTCAGGGCAGCCCGGGCACTGGGCCCATTCTGTCCACAGGTTCTGCCTCCACGGACCCAGCTGACCACCTGCATGTCCAATGTGCAGTTAGGCCTGTGAGGGTTGCTGCATCTCTACCCAAACACGTCCCAATTGTTTTCCTTCTTGTTCTTCCACCATCAATACAGTGTCACAGCTGTTTATGTGCCGTCTGCGTTGCATTTGGTATTTCAGGTTAACTAGAGATGATTTAGGGTCCATGAGAAGATGTGCATCAGTTACGTGCAAATACCGTGCCATTTGACGTAAGGGACGGGAGTGCTGTAGACTTGGTGTCTGCAGTGGTGGGTGTTACAGCCAATCCCCCATGGACACCGAGGGCAACTGTCCTTCAGGACTGCCGGATGTCACCTTGATGTTGACCTGGTGTACAGGTTCCTGCCTCAGTCCCCTGGAGCCACAGGTGTGGCATCTTTCCAGATCCACCTGAGGGCTCTGGCTCCTGTTCTCCAAGTTAAGCAATCCCAGTTCCTGTGGCTCCTGCCCTCTCCGAGTGTACGTCAGCCCCTGAGATCCAGGAGCATGAGAGGACCCATGTCCGTCTGTCTTCTTGGGGCACCAGCCAGGGAAGTGCGTTCGCGTCCCTGAACCTTGCCTGTCCTTTGCTGGGTTTTGCCCATTTACACGTCAACCGCGCGCCCTACCTGGGCTCTCCGTCTTCCCCTGCGCCGGGCTGAGGGAGGCTCTGCCTCTAAGCCCCCTGTGCACCTGCCGGAAACGTCAGTCTTCCTCTGCTCCTGTCTGTCTTTCACCATCCTCATCCAGTCTCTCGTCTTTGTTTCTTCCACCTCCAGCGCAGATCTCGAACCGGGTGCAGGAGGGCGTCGTGCCCCATCTTCCTTTCGTGGGAAGCCCTCCCATTTCTCATATCTGATCTTCAGAGAAATGCCCTCTCCCGAGGCTTTGTTTGTGATGCCTGTTGTATTTACGGTTCTTAGACATCTGGCAATCCGGCTCTGCCCCTCTTTCCCCAGGGTCACGGGCACAGTCCAGGCCATACTGGCCACTGTGGTCCTGGAGGAGAGGGATACTCTCCTCCGTGTCCCCCTCCCTCCTGCCTCAGGGCTTTGGCTTCTGCTCCTCCTCCCCAGTCACGAGCTTCACCCACCCACGTCTTCTTGCCTCCCGCATCCTACTCCTTCTCTGCTCCCGTCACAGTGACTTCCTGGGAACCCGGCTTCACAGGGCATCTCCCCTCCCTGTCCCTTTCAGTGGCACCCACGTCCTGCCCAGAGAGGGAGGAAGCATCTTTGCCCCAAGCACTCTATCTAGCTACCACTGTCTGATTACTTTCTGTCTGTCCATCCGTCTTGCATACCAAGCAGAATGTCACCGGACCCTGCAGGGAACCTCTGTATGCAGCTGGTCAGGCCAAAAATAATTTGTACGTTTGTGTACCTAAGTTACCATCGAAAGTCACCTCCAACCCCATTGGAAAACGCGCTGGGGCACGGGATGGATTTGGAATGTCACTGGTACTAGTCGTAGCAGCGGCACTAGTGTTATTTAGCACTGTGAACTCTTTTAGACTACTGAGTTTTATATTGGCAAGAGAAAAATATTTTGAAATCTCATATAATAAGACCTACAAATTTAGAAAAAATTTCAACTAACCATAATATTCACTAATACCACTTAATTGAAATTAGTCTGTTGGCTTGTTCATCAGCCCTGCTTTTCTTTTTTTTAATGTTTACTTTTTTAGTTATAGATAGACAGATAAAATATCTTTATTTTTATGTGGTGCTTAGGATTGAACCCAGCGCCTCACGCATGCTAGGCGAGCGCTCTGCCTCTGAGCCACAATCCCAGCCCCTCGGCCCTGTTTTTCTGTTCGTGTGCCTGCCTTTCACTCTTCCCGTGGCTCACCCACCCCCTGGACTCCTGCAGACATTTGAAGTATGCGCACGATATCAGCAGCTTCTTCCCATTAAAGGTTCAAGTGCATCGCTAGAACTGGAAATAGCATCTCCTACGCCTTTGGCTTCTGCAGTTGCCCTTCCTGCCATCGGGTGGTGCTCTTGTAAGCAGTAAAACAGGCGGGGGGTGTGGCCTGGGTGGAGCTTTGCCAGGCTGGGTGATACCCTGGCTTCAGCCCCCAGCACTGCAAAAACATAAATCAACAAAAAGACCAGTAAAACAGCCATGTTGCCCTAGTTGGGGGCAAGTTTTGAAGTCTTATTTTTAAGTGAATCAGAGTCTCACTGTCAGTGTGAAAACACACCCCAGCATACAACTTCAGCTCCCAACACCCTCTCCTGAAACGCCTTCCCGCCCCAACACCCTTTTCCTGCCAGCAGCAGGAAAACCACAAGCCAGATCTTTCCCCTCCATAGAGCTGTTTCTGCATTGGTCTGTCGCTGAATATTTTCTTCAATAAATGGAGATTGCGAATTATTCTGTGTGAATAGGTACAGATTTTCTATTTAACGTAAGCTGATTTGGGCCAGGGGTATGGCTCAGCGCTAGAGCAAGCACGCACTTGCCTGGCAGGCCCGAGGCGCTGGGTTTCATCTCCACCACCGCAAACAAACAAGAAAATGCTAATCAGAACTTGAGGAAAGAGAGAAGATGGTATTAATGAAAAGCCCCCGGACAGGGCCTCGAAGGAAAGGGTTAGTGAAGGTGGGGCCGCCGTCTTCGCCATTGGTGGTTCAGCCTTCTCCATTCACCTCTCCCTGGGTGAGATTGGGGTGCAGCAGAGTCTGTAGGATGTGGGGAGAAGCCATACTCCTGGGCCATGTGAGACACCTGTGTGAGGTCCATAGACCAGGGTGGGCAATACAGACACTGAGCGTCCTGTCCTATACACTGACGGCAGGGGTGGTTGATCTGTGGTCCTGTGAGGTTAGAAACAGGAGTCTTAAGAGCAGACTTGGCATCATGCAAAGCTGAAGGGAACACTCAGGACCATCGGAATGAGTGTGAGGGGAAAGCTGTGTGACCCTAAGGAAGTTACTCAGCCTCTCTGGACCTTGGCGTCTTCATCTGTGAGGTGGAGTTGGAGCAGATGACCACAGAGGCCTGGTCAGTTCTAAACATCTGTAATTGTCCAAGACTGCACTGTCTCACAGAACCTCTGTGATGTGAGAAAAGTTCCGTGGCTGCCCTCCAGCCTGGAAGGCACCAACCACGTCTAGCCATTGAGTATTTGAAATGTCGCCAGCACAACTGAGGAACTGACTTTTCATCTTAAGTTATTGAAATAGAAGTACCGTGTGTGACAGAGGCTGCCATATTGGACAATGAGCCGTAGGTCCAGGAGAACCCACGTTAAATACAGAAAGACAAAACAGGAGCTCAGTGAGGGCAGCCCATGGATGTCAGACATAAACTGGGAATGCTAGTTGTCCTCAACGTGCAGCCGTCAGCCCGCTTCCTTTGGGTGGCCCGGGATCCCATGGAGCAGAGCTGTCGGCAGGAACGAGATGGAAGGAAAGTGTCCTTCAGAGGATACCGGGACATGTGCGTTTGCACGGCCTGGCCTGGCAGAATCTGGATCAATACTGAACCCTAGAGCCAGGCACAGTGCTGCACACTTGTATTCCCAGCACCTGGAAGGCTGAGGCAGGAGGACTGCTCAAGTCCAGGACTTCAAGGCCAGCCTGGACACCATAGCAAGACCCCATCTCAAAAAAAAAAAAAAAGTTAAATCACCAGAGTAGCTGGACACATTTTGCCCAGCAGCCTTCTAAATGGAAGGAAAACCAAGTCTTTAGCAGCTCATGCATCCAACTTGCCCTCCTGTCCCTCTGCCCCCAAACTTAATGTGCTGTATGTAGGCCAGATCAGGGCAGGCATGGCCGGAGGACTCTGCATGGGCCAGACCCCTGCAGAGGACCTTTGCAGCTCAAAGGTTCCAGAGATCCATGACACTGGTCCCCAAACAAGTTGGTGATGTTTGCATTAATAACATTAATCCAGTTATTAAAATATCTCCTCCTCCCCCACGATGAAGGAGTCTGTCCGAGAACAATCCAGCACAAAGCTGCCGGACCCAGAAGTCRTCCAGTTCTGTGTCTCCGTCTTCAAATGCTCCAGGCTCCTGCTCACCTGATGGGGTCGATCAGCAGTTTTTAGAGGACTACAACAGGGTGACCAAGGGAGGGTCCACTGAGGACGCCAGCCAGTACTACTGTGACAAGGTGAGCCAGCCCAGGTCCCGCCACGCCTAAGAGGCCCACCCTTGTGAACGGGCCCCTGGAAGGGCAATAATGTAAACGATCACTTTCCCATGTTTTCTAGAATGATAATGGTGACAGCTACTTAGTCTTGGTCCGTATCACACCGGATGAAGATGGAAAATTTGGATTTAATCTTAAGGTATGTCATGTGTATTTATTTGGTAGGTTTATGCTAGGAAACCACTTGAGGTGAATTTTAATTTCCATTAAAAATGTGCTGCATAGCTAAGCTGCGTAGGGAAACTGGCTCAGCCCTCCAGATGGGGAGTGTTTAATGTGACCGAGGCTGCTGCTACCTCCTCTGTGCCCAACACTTGCTGCACACTAGATTTATATCACCTTATTGAGCTCTTAAAATAAGCGGTGAAGACAGTATTTTTAAACCTACCTCACAGATGGATACTAAGGCTCAGAGACATGGAGGCACTTGGTTGGCAAGCAGATCTACCCCCTCAAAGGGCTTATGAAGAGAATCCCACAGCATCGATAAAGCTGATAAGAGAAAACGGCTCTCCAGGGTGCAGGGCCTGTCCCATCCTCTGGGCGCCTCGGAGCAGTCTGCACATGGTGGCCCGTAGGCTGGATCCCATCTGTTCTGTAGTGTGGTGGGAACAGCCTGGCCCGTCCCTTTGCAGATTGGGATGTGGCACAGAGTTCAGCAGTTGCTGCAGAGCCTCTTTCCCATGAAGTCTGAAATGTTGGCTCCCAGGCCCTCCAACCACCAACCTACCAGCCGCCACCCCCTGCCCTGGAGCCCGTGAGGGCAGCTGGTCTTTGCCAGCCGTCCACAGCTGCCCTCGTGCACATCTTTCTCGGCACCCAGTGGCCCTGCCCACACGACGTATGACCCTTCCTGAGGCCTCACCTGCCCGCCCTGAGAGCTCCCGTTTCTGTCCACTCGCGGGGCCCTCCTGGGGGCGCAGCGCTGCTGACAGGGAGCTGGTACCCTCTTCAGCTCATCACCAGTGATGTCCCCTCCGCAGAGAAGCCAGCAGGGTGTTCCCTAGGTCTGAGGCCCCCACGGGCCAGAAGACTGGCTTTATTGGTGTCTACTGTTTGTCACTGTGAACTACTCAGTGTCATTTCATGTTGACACCTTGACAGGGTGGAGTGGATCAGAAGATGCCTCTTGTGGTCTCAAGGATCAACCCCGAGTCACCTGTAAGTAGATGTGTCCCCGTGCAGTCTCCACATTTGCTTCCCAAACACCTGGCGGGTCTCTGCCTGTCCCATTTCTTTTTGCGGCAGTGGGGTGGAAGTCCCCCCAGGCAGACGGAAGGAGCAGGACTCGGGTTTGCTAAAACCCTGCTGCTCGGTGGGCCCTGGAGGCTCGGCACCTGTGTCACCTGGGGCCTCATCAGACAGCAGAGCCTCTGGCCCCAGCCCAGGCCTGAAGAACCAGAGTCGGCGTTTGGGTGATCTGTGTGCATATTCAATTTTGAGAAGTACTGTGGACGGGGGACACTGAGGCAGAGTCTGCCGCTGTGCTCGCTTTGAGCAGGATCACAGACCTTGAGCCCCTTCCCACCGTCTCCCCACCAGCACCACCCCAACCCTCCACATCTCTGGTGTTTTTTCTTTCTAGTTGCTGTGCTTGTGTATGCGGAGGGCACGCAGCACAAGACGATGCTCAGACACAGGCACAGTGGACGGATGCCCACAAGTAGACTCAGGGGTCCGTCACGCTCTGAAGCTGCCTGGTGATGGTTTGCTTTTTTTAAAGTGGTAGAACATCAGAGTCTCTTTTAAGAAGGGGCCCACCACGGGTTTTAACTCTTGAGCAGTCTGTCCCCAAGCCTGTCGCTGTCCTGGTGTTGCTCTTTGTGGTTTCTGGGGATTCCTGTGCTCTTACACTCATCACATCGCCCCGCAGCGGCTCCTGCCCCTGGTGTGGTGCTGACGAGGGCCTTCCCTTTGCAAGCCACGGCTGCACCCTCACTTCCAGCTGCCGGCTCCTTTTCTAACAGCACCTCCAGAGTGAAGGCGTCTCGGGCCTTATCCTGAACTGCTTCCTAGCTCACACTCTGAGCAGCACTTCTGTAAAATCCCACGGCCACCTCCCTGTGCCCGTACCAGTGGGTAAAACGAGACAGTGACGTGGTGGCAGTCTCAGGTGTCCAGGACCAGGGAGCCTGCGGCCCCTGGAGGGAGGTGTCATGGTAACGGACGCTTGCTTTCCTCCATGCAGGCGGACACCTGCATTCCCAAGCTGAACGAAGGGGATCAGATSGTGTTGATCAATGGCCGGGACATCTCCGAGCACACCCACGACCAGGTGGTGATGTTCATCAAAGCCAGCCRGGAGTCCCACTCGAGGGAGCTGGCCCTGGTGATCAGGAGGAAAGGTAACAGTGCCTGCTGGGGGATGAGCCACGGGGACACTGTCCAGCCCATTCTGTGGTTGGAAAACACGAGGTGTGTAGCCAGCGTCTGAAAATCGAGAATTTTCCCAGAGCAATGAGAGTGTCTGGTTTCTCCCTGGGAAAAGGTGAAGATCTTCCTCCCCAGAGCCTGACCCCTCCAGGCTGGTGCTCTGAAGAGAGGCAGCCCCAACACCCACTTTACTCCAGGCTGGAGCCCCGGATTCCTCCAGCTCAGGCACAGCTTAGCCCCCATCAGGCTCTCATCTGCCTGGTCCTGCGGAGGGTCCCTTGGATTTCACTGGTACCTGCTCAGGTCTGCTGGGCAGGCCCTGAGGCTAGAGGGGTGGAGCCAAATGTCCCCGGAGATTCCTGACTCCACCGCCTGGTTGGGGTTTAGGGACCTTGAGCAAGTTACAGCCCCAGCCTGCACTTGTGTTCCCCGAGAGTGACTTGAGGACTTGACAGTGCCCTCCTCAAGGGTGCTTGTGGAGATTAAGGGTACTCACCCTGGGTGCTGTCTGGGCTGTGGAAGGTGTTTGAAGGAAGGCCTCTATGGAGTGTCATCTCTCTTTTGGGGTGGTACCAGGGAATGAACTTGGGGCCCTCTGCCACAGCCCCAGCCCTATTTTGTATTGTATTTAGAGACAGGGTCTTGCCCACTGCCTGGCAAGTGTCATCTCTTGAGGGCCTCCAAGGAGTCACCATTGTTGTTCTGAATAACAAGCCAAGACCCGTGAGTCCCCCGACAGCCTTCAACACTGGTGGTAGATGAAGGTGTGACTGTGGAGCTCCAGCCACGCGGCTCTGCCCTGGCTCTCGCCTGCTGGGCAGCTCCACCCTGCCACTCTCTGCTCCCAGCAGAACTCCCAGCCCAGAGCCAGCATGAACCCACCTCCCTGGGAGGCTGTAGGGGACCTCTGATCCCCTCTGCAGCCTGACGGGCACACAGTGGGAGTCCACAGGACAGTAGCTGGTGTCTGGGTCATGCCAGACGAGGACCTCGCCCTGGGTCGGTGGCTTCCCATTGTATCCTCCTCCACTCTCACGACTCCCCTGTGACGTGGGAGTTGTCACCCCAAGTAGAAAACAGGGAAACCATATCACAGGTGAAGAAGTTTCCCCTCTGCCACGTGACTGGTAAGGCCACATGATGACGGGAGTCTGAGGAATCAGTGGGTGGAGCCTCCATCACATAGACCTGGGTGTCCCCGGTGGGCACGGGAGGCCTCCTCCACTGGCCCCTGGCTGGTGCCTCTTGAGGTGAGGAAAACCAGTGAATAGAGAGTGTCAGAGCTAAGGAGCAAGGGCTGCCGGATTTCCAGTAATCGTAATGTTAAGCTTATTTCTAACATAAGCATTTAAGTAAAAAAAATATGAACTGAGCCAGGCACATAATGTTCCCCTAGAATCTCGGGTCCTCAGGAGGCTGAGGCCAGAGGATCACAAGTTCCGGGCCAGCCTGGGCCATGTAGCAAGACCCCGACCCAAAAATAAGTAAAAGGAGCTAGGGATATAGCACAGTGGTGAAGAGCCTCTGGGTTCAATCCCCAGTATTTATATTAAAGAAAAAGTGATCAGTCAACTTTGGCACAAGAAGCTGTAGACAGGGTCAAAATCACATCGTACAAGAAGAGCCAAGCTGTGGTCCACGATAGAGTCAGACAGACATGGACCGATTTCCCATGCCCTACCCTAATGATCCGCCCCGTCCCAGGAGCCCCATTTCCTTGTCTGTGAAACGGGACAAACAACAGCACATTCAGAATTGTGAGGATTCAGTTCCACTTTGTGGGGAAACTCGAGTGTTTAGTTTTCCTCCCCTTTCCTGTGATCTTGAAGGCAGTAGGGAGCCACTGAAGGCTTTTGAGGGAGTGACTTACCTTTCTGAGTGAAAAGGGAAAATTCAGAAATGATCCCAAAGTCTCCAGCCTGGGAGAAGGAGAGAAAGGAGATACAGACATAGATACAGGCAGGTAAAGTAGAAGTATTTCTTCCCCTGCTGAGTTTGTCAAGAAAGGAGAATGTAGACCTAAGGAAGCTGGACTGAAGCACAGAAGATGTTCCTTGGGAGCTTCCCACGTAGAGACTGGGCTGTTGAACGCAAACTTGGGGCCCTCCCCCAACCCCAGCGCCTGGGAAAATGGCATTTAAGGGAAATCAATGAAAAAGGACCCAAGAAGGGAGAGGTACGGGGATGGTGGGAAAACAACAAGGTCAGAGAACAAATGAGAAAATTTGCCCTAAGAACATTCTTCCTCCTTTCCTTACCTTTGGCAAAAAGCCCACGAGTACTAAACGCAGTCGTTTAAAACTAACCAGAGGTCAGATGTTGTTGATATGAGTGACACATACTGGGTCATTCACCTGGAAAAGGGGTCTCGGTGGAGGTGGTCCCCACGTGCTGATCCACTCAGTAAGACATTTGAACACCTGTGCCCAGCTGCTGCAGGGTCCTCCTTGGAGGGGAGACCAGTAGCAAAGTGCCGGACGCCTCTGTCTTGTTCTTCCAGCTGTCCACTCATTCACCGAGATCAAATCTGAAGATGAACTGAACCAGCTTTTCCCAGAACCCATTTTCCCCATGTGTCCGGAGGGTGGGGACACTTTGGAGGGATCCATGGAACTGCTAAAAAAAGGCCTTGAAAGCGGGACGGTGCTGATCCAGTTTGAGGTAAGAGGCTGCCCAGGCCACGCCACGCACCTGCAAGGCCACCCTGCTGCCCCTGAGCGGCTCTGGGCGAGGCAAGACACAAGCCCTCGGTTCTGCAGTCGAGATGACTGTGGTTCACAAACCTCAAACGGCAGAGTTGCCACAGGCCACAGCCATGGGCCATCTCCTAGGGGTGGAGCAGCACAGCAATGAGGTCCAGCAGGCCCATGAGGACCTCAGCCATGGCTGAAATCAGTCTCGCCCTCTTCTAATAGCATTCGGTAGACCTGGAGGGACGTGTCAGCAACTGAGGAGGAAGGACTCTGAGCTGATTAACTACCAGCACAAAAGCTCAGACTCCACAGTGGAAGGAAGCAGGGGGCAGTGGGACCAACTCTCTCACCCCCAGCCCAGCCGCCCTGGGCATCTGAGCACTTAGCGTCTTCCCATGAGGACACAGCCTCTCCCCCTCCCCACTATCTCAACCACAGAAACCAAAGCCAGACCCCATCTTCCCCAGGAGGCACAGTCCGTGGTGCCAGGAGTGAGGCTGCCGACAAAGGCACCCACCAAGGCCTTTTACCAAACCAAAGATGTCCATTAAGGGATCGAAATTCGGGTGCATCTATCTTCCAAATTTATTTAAAGGTAGAAGAAAGCAGATTAGCTCACACACTGAGAGAGCAGAAGGAACACAAAGAAACGCAAAATAGGCCAGCGAGAAACCAGAGCCTGGTCAAGAGCATGCGGAGTCTGGGTTCATAAATTAAGGACGAGCATCTCAGATGGATTCAGGCACACAGATGGCGTTTATTAAAAAGTCACAGAAGCAAAAGTAGGAAGTTTGGCCAGTGCATGTGACTGCAGAGGGGTTCAAGAAAGCAGGAGGAACATGAATATCAAACAAAGACGCAAAGCCACAGCTCTGAGAGGAAGGTCTGTCTCCCAGTGGTGCAGGGCATAGAACATAAAAATACACCACAGCAAAACAGGTTGAGCAGCAGCAGAGTGCAAAACCCATAGCCCAGAAGGCAAAGATAACCGATCCCTACAAATTCAATAGGGAATTTTAAACTTTTAATTAGCTACCTTGACAGGAAACATAAAACAAAAAAAAAATAAGTTCCTATCTTGTGGAAATGAAATTTGGATAAGAGAACAGTAACATAAACACTCTCCAAAGTAGATAAAACGAGGAATTAACTTGCAACCCAGTTGCTGGTGATCTCAGTTTTATCCTTCTTGTTTTAATACTGGGGAAGGAGGGGAGGGAAGAGGCACCATGGAGTCAATCACCCATTCAGCCAGTGGCAGGTACTTCCATGGGCCTAACGCTAGAACTGGGTCATAACGAGGGAAGAAGGGGGTTTCTGGCTGCAACGGATTCACCATCTAATTTTGGTGTGTTTGGGGTCGAGATGTATCATGAGTCAGAAACAGCTGAAGGCCAAGGTAGGGTAAGATTTTATTACACAAATAGTTCATACCAGGGCAGCTGGAAGAGAAGGTTCCAGGTGGTCCCTGGGGTAAGATGTGGGATTAATAAGGGATGGATGGGACTAAGTGAGAAGGGGAGGGAATTCAGGAGGTCCTGCTCAGCTGAAGGCCACAGAGGTCAGGTGGCATAAGGAAGTACCAGGAATCTTGGCTGGCCCCAGACGAGGGAGAGCCCTGGACCCAGGAGAGCTGTTCTGGCTGATGCGGTGCCGTGGCTGGGCCTGGGGAAAGCTCCGAGGCTGGCCCTGCCCCGGCTTCCTAAGGCCTCCTCCACCCCCAGCCTCTGCTTTGATGTATTTCCCATATGGGCGTCTCCATTCGATGAACCCTGAAAAGTGTTCATCCACTTTTTAAAGAAGTTTTAAAAGGCCTTGCCACCCCCTATTTTTTTGTAAAAGTGTTTCTCAAAGGGTGACCTCTGACCACCTGTATGGGAGCCACCTGGGGAGCTTGTTAAACTAGGGCACTGTCCACAGCTACCGGATACTGGTGCTTTAACAAGGTTGGCTGAGGTTCTGATGCACGAGCTGATGTGGAAAGGAGAGGGTGGAAACCTATCAGGACCTTGCCCCCTGCCGCCCATCCTAGTCTACTCATGGAGAGTAAGAAAGTAGCAGAAGAAAGAAGCAGAAAACGTATACATCCGTAAGAGAGTTAAATTTTAGTGTGGACACACGTTTTTTCATTTCGTCTATAAATTTTCTAGAAATTAAGTAGAAAATCCTTCTTTTTACGTAGCCTCTTTTGCAGAATTCCAAAATATAAGCAGATAAAAGCAGGTCTGCTCTGTGGTGGGAGCTCTGCCTCTGCCATCGTCCCTCCTGGCCTCCCAAGGAGCCCTCGGGTCACTGGAGCATCACATGCAGATGTCCTCCGCAGCTGCTAGAGCAGTTTGGTTCAAGGGACACTAAATCAAACAGGAAACTAGTACGAAAATGAGCACTTTAGTGGGTACTTACCCAGTGCCACAGGCTGTGAAGTTGTCAGCTTATGTAATTCTCTGAACAGCTCTGTGTGGATCCAGCCATTATCCCCATCATATAGAGAAGAGACAGAGTCTCAGATAAAGGAAGTGACCTCCCCAAGAGCCCCCTGTAAGAGGCAGAGCCTGACTTAAGCCCAGGCTCTGACTTAACTCCAGAGCTGCTTCTGTGGCCGTTGGAAATTACAAGATGCTTTGGCCTGTTGAGGGCTGTTACTAGGGTACCATCAGAGCTAGCAAAGGTCACAGAGGGCCAGAGTCACTTTAAATCCTGGCTTCACCCCTTACTCCCTTCCCTTGACCTCTGAGGCCCCTATGTCCTCATCTATAGGTAGGTCGTCTCGTGAGTTGAATTATAAGGAGTAGATGAGACAAATACTTAATTCATTGCTTGGTGCGTGATCAGGACACCATAAAAAACAGGGCCTGGGGTTGTGGCTCAGCAGTAGAGTGCTCACCTAGCCCGTGCCAGGCGCTGGGTTCGATCCTCAGCACCACATAAAAATAAATAAATAAAATAAATATATTATGTCCAACTATAACTAAAAAAATTTTTTAATTAAAAAAATTTTTTAAAGTAACAGCAGCTATTATTATTTGTAAACAAAGAGAGGCTCCAGGAGCATGCCCAGTCTGCACAAGAAGTGGTCATAGGGCTCTGAGCTTGGAACCCTGCAAGTCCTGCCTGTTGTGCCCAGACAACATGGCCATGTCCCCATTACTCTTCCTCCTGTGCCATGGGCAGACAGGCAGCTTGACTGATGAGGACATGTGCTCTGTGCCCAGAAGCAGGAAGTGGGGCTGATCGCTGGCAGGGTCCATTGGCAGGTGTCCTCCTCACCCACTCCGTGACACAGTGCACCTGCCTGGGGCAGCAGACAGAGTCCCTCCAGGAGCACTGGCTTTCTGGAAGCTTGCTCTGAAGCTTTCTTTCTTTCTTTTTTTTTTTTTTTCTTAATTGAGGGAATTCCCTCGTCCCTCCTGTGGCTTTCAGTAAACAATTACATATGTGTTCCAGAAAGCATTTGGTCCCAGCTGTGACAAAATCACACTTAATAATAATCGACATTCTGGAGTATCTGGGATCTACCACGTGTATTTCACATATGCTGTTCCAGTTCTCACAGCAGTTCTGTGAAACAGGTGACGGCCAGAGTTATTAGGATTTTTTATTTATTTTATTCTTTGGTGCGAGAGCTGGCACGTACTCTACCGCTCAGCCACAAGCCCAGGATCAGAATCAGGAGAGGGAGAGGCAAAGAGGTTGTCTGGTGTCACATACCTAGTCAGAGATAGAGCCAGAATGATAATTGATGTTAAAAAATCCATCTGGTATGGGGGTGCATACCTCTTGTCCCGGCCACTCAGGAGGACCCCAGTGTTCGAGACCAGCCTGGGCAGCAGAGTGAGACACTGGCTCACACACTTACCTACCTACAAACAAACAGCTCTAGTCCACTGACAGGCGTGTCCCAGCTCCACCCAACCTCCAGAGCTGTCCGTCCCCCGTTGTGACACTGGGCAGTTGGGCAGCATCTGTGATTGGCCTCGAATGCTGTATTTTGTTCAGCCAAGATCAGGTTTTCTTCTCTGTAGGATGGAACAGGTTGGTTCTTGCCAGGTTCCTTGTCGGCACCACCTCCAGGACGCTGTCCTCCTTGAGGATTGTACCCGTTCGCCACAGCTTCCTTCCTTCCTTCCTTCCTGGGAGTAGCTTGTGGCTTCACCCACACTGCCCCAAGTCGGAGTTCTGTGGAAGCCAGGGCAAGGCCATGCGTTTGGTTTATGGTTTCATGGATTAAAAACTCAGTGCTGATGCTCAGCTGTCCGTTGTTTGAGAACCAGCTTTCCAGCAAACAGAAGAGCCCTGTGTCCATGCCATCCAGGGACCCCGTGACGGGCAACCGCCTCCTTGCCCACTCTTCGTTAAGACCTCTTTGAAGACTCCTCTTCTGATAGAAAATGAAGAGTACTGCAAGGGAGTACCCCCTCCCCAGATTGACGGATTAGAGCAGTGGCCACAAGACACCCAGTGTCCTGTCCACTCGTGTACCCTCACCCCTCCACTTCAGCATCGTCCATCCTTATCAAAACCCATTCTTCTCTTTTCCGACCTGTGCTTCCTTAATTGGCACCTACCTTGCCACTGTAGGAACTACCCTTTAGTGTCAAAACAAGTGACTCACGAGCAAAGGCAGCTGAAAACTGTGAGAGGTTTAAATCAACACATGTCAGAATTAATGAGGGCAGTGGTACCTTCCAGAGCAGAGCCCACCCGTCAGAGTGCACGTAAAGCCAGGTGCGGTGGTGCACACTTGTAAGCTACTCAGGAGGCTAAGGCAGGAAGATGGCAAATTTGAGGCCCACCTGGGCAGCTTAGAGAGAGTCTCTATCAAAATAAAAAGGGCTGAGGAAGTGGTAAACACGCTGGGTTCAATATCCAGTACCCCCCACCAAATGTATTTTTTAAATGGTTTTCCTGGCCTGGGGACATAGCTCCGTTGGTAGAGTGTTTGCCTTGCCTGCACAAGGTCCTGGGTTC